AAATATACATATTTCCAGCTAGCTCGCAAAAGGGTGTATAGTGTTGATTTCCAAAAGTACACACGACAGATTAGTCTTAGATATTACTTATAACATCCATGAGAGTTTTGATTTCTTCTTGAGTTATCTGAGGGTAGGAAAAAGGAGGTAGAATGAGAATAAAATGTATATAAGGGCATAACTTTGGCCAAGAAGATCAGGAACCTCCACAGTTGTAAGCTGAAGAGACCGAAGGAGTGGTTGCTCCTAGATTATGCGGAGTGTTGTTCTGTATTTATTGATTTAGGAAAATTGAAGTGGTTGATTTGAGGACTAAGTCTAAGTTTACTACTACATCATTTCATATATATTGATTGTTAAAAAAAAATAGGATGTTTTTCAAAGTATAAAACAGTTTTAAATATTGATAATACTTTGAATTAATCATTATTTATAATTAAGATTGTAAAGAGCATCTCCCTGTTATAATTAGCGATTATCTTTTAGTTATTATACAATAATAATTTCCTTTTATTTTGTTTCTTATGTTATCATGATTTTTTTAATACTATTTTTGAGAACGAGAATTGTGCAATGAGTATATTTACAATTGTGAGAAATATATTGAATTTTAATAAACTTCTATTTTAATATATTTGATTAATAAATAATAGAGTTTGAAATCTGCAATAAACGAATGTCCGTTAGTTGGTGGAAATATTAATGTAAGTAGTAATTGCAGTTTAGCGACAAAAGTAACAACAATTAAAGTTGAACATGACAATATCGCCCAAGCACACAATGAAACATATTTTCTGTTGTAGCTGGCATTTTATCGTTTAAAAATAGAACTAGTATAAAAGAAGAATACAATATACGTGTTCTACATTATTTATATTCCACATTTCTTGCCGATAAGCCACAATGTTTACCAATTCAGAGTAATATTTTTTTACATTTATGTCATTTTGAGTTTGTTATTTACACCAAGGATCATAAACATTCTTGTCCAACATGATATGTACTTAAAGTTCAGAACAGAAATTCACAACTGTATAAATTTTGCGGTAAACCAAACGATCACATAACTAAGGCACTGTGTAATAGATTACTAATGATACACGTTCACTTTAATTAGTTATGGAAGAGAAAATTATCATCAGGAAATAAACAATTCAAGATAATAGATCTATCTCCGTAAATACTCAACTCCAAAATTGTGTATTTATGTGATAACTAGAATATTTAGAGGAAATAGTGTGCATCATTATATTACAAAATTCCATTGAGATTGATTGAAATCAATAAATTGAAAACAGAATTTCTCACTATCCATTTATCCATTTATAAATTAAACAAAAAAGATGTAGTTATGACCCCTGTGTCTTTGTTGCATATTTTTGTTATTGTAAAGTCATTGCTTGCGTTTGTTTAATAATAAATTGTTATACTTCGTCTTGAAAATTATCATTTTAATGATTTCCGACCCTCTTTACGATTATTGAATCCTGGAATCGTCGAGTTGAAGGCACTGTAGAAGATATTGCTTTAAAATCTGGAGAATTTTACTAAAATCTTTTTAAATTGTTTGATTAAACCTTAAAACACTTTATCTTTTATTTACCGCCAATATAAAATTGAAATGGAAATATTTTTCATTCATCCAATTTTAAAAGAAAAACAAACCTTTCAATTAAATCGTAATGCTAAAATAATTACGTATAAGTAAACTTATCAACTATGGGTTATAACATGTATATAATTACTTTGAAACCAAGAGTGCAATTCCTTAATTGTATTCTTCTAATTTACCCTAAGTATTTAATAAATTGTTTTTAATTATTACTTATAAAATACTTTCAATGTGCTATGATGAGAAAACATTTTTAGATGTCGACAAAAATGCTGTAATTTTTTTTTAATGCTTAACATTTAAAACAATTGATTCAACATTCAGATTTGCAGTTCATATGTACCTTATTTTCCGTCTGTTAAATTTTTCATGTGATTGAAATACATCAGTGTCAATATGATCCATTGGCCGTTCATTTATTTAAAGAATGAACTGCAATAAACTACGGGTTTTATAAGTATTTGAAGTAATTCGTCTAATGAATTTTCTTCTGATAATAATCCGTACTTGAAGATATCAGTTTATTATCAAGATTTCATCAAATAGCAATAAAACTTATAAAGGTAGCAACAAAAACCAATATAAGTCATTAATAATGATGAAAAAAGCAACGACTCGAATAATATTGATTCCAGTGGTTCTACAGTGGTACTCTTGAGTTATTATTACTTTCATTGTTTTTATACAACATGTATCTTAAAATTCTTCAAGTTTTAAATATCAATGAAGAAAATGTTTAAACTAAATCAGTCATTTACAATAATAAATTGTTCATAGACAAAAATTGTTTGCATACTTGTGTGGAAATTATTCAAGACACTTCCTGTCAAAAGCTCCATTCTTTTAATTTAGATTTATTTATATAAAGCCTGAACTGATAATAATAAGGCATTCTTAGTTTCTCATAAAAATGAGAAAGAATACATTCTTGTCTGTCTTTCTCATTCTTGTTACCAAATCGATAGGAGCTAATGAGTGAAATAAAAATGTTTAATTTATAAAAAATTTGCTCAAGTGAAAGAAAATAATAAAAGTACAGCTATTAATTAATAGCTCTATTAACAATGATTATAATTATTTAATTGTTATTTCAATAGCTTGAACATCAAAATATATTGGGCGACCCTTAATAAAATTAAGGAAGCTTAATCAGACTCCAGTTAATTCCCAGATTAAATTTCTATCCCGGTGAAAATTATTTATGACAATTGATAATAGTCAGAATTCAAATTATTCATTTGATCATCCATCAAACAGTTGATTGTAGACTTTCGGAGCCACATTCACATGATGATTCGTTTTATTTTAAATTATGATTTTGTGTATTCAACTGAACCACCATTTGATACTTTATAATATTTATTTAATAAAATTTTACATTTGTAAACCTACACTGTAAATTTTAGTGTTTTATTTTAAAACACTTAAACACGTTTTAAAATCGAGACAATGTTAATCAAATGGATGACGTCATATTAAAACACTTTTAATGTTTTAAAATAAAACACTAAATTTTACAGTGTATAAATGAATGTAATGCTTTCTGTAGAAAGAAAAGATTATTAGAACATAGTTGGATATTTTTATTATTGAAATTTTAGCAATTATTTGTATTATATAAAAATCCTTGAAGCAAAGAAAAATGAATAATCAAAACAATATTCAATTTTCCTCTAGTACATACAACATAAGTCAAATCTCTAGACATATTCAAGCATCTGACGTAAATACTCAAATGCTGTATGATGCACATACATATATTTGTATATTTTAAATTCCATTCCAAACGAAAAAAAAAACAATCTCTTTCAAGAATACTTGTAGAAAATGGTCATAAACTTTTGTCAATGCAGTTGCAATGGAAGCTTTAAAATTTTATATCTTAAGAACCATTATTCATATGCATGATTTTTCAACAATGATTTCTTTATCATTACAGGGTTGGAGAGGATGGTCCATGGGATCATCAAGAAATAGTAACTCCAAATAATGATACAAAATATTATATGGAAAACTTACTGCCCTTCACATCCTATAGTTTTCGTGTAACCGCAGTAAATGCACGTGGACGCAGTGAACCCAGTCAAGCATCCCATTATATAACAACGTTGCGAGAAGGTATTTCATCTATTTGTGTTTGAGCATACTTCTATTTTTTCATTAATTTTTTTTTTACAATCTTTTACCGCTAAAAAAGCACGTTGTGTATTGATTTCGTTCAGTCTAGGATTAAAAAATTTAATAATTTATTCATTTATGAAATATTATTAATCTGCTTATCAGCATATTCGTATGAATCATGTATAATTTTCTTCACAATAAAACACATACACACATTCAGTTATCTGAAAAAAAATTCAATAGATTTAAAATATACTGATAAATAAAAATATCGCGAAAATTTTGATTTTTATATGAAGAACCATTACAGTAGATTACTTTGTAGCAATATTACTAATTATAATCACCACGTATTGATTGAAACAGTTGAAAACAAATAATCAGCCATAATGGAGTTTTATTGCATGTCTATATGTATTTGAATTTTGCACACTTTTCATCAGAATAAATCAGAATGGCTTTAGCATACCAATAGGATATATTGATAGAATGATGAAAGTATGTTTTAATTTGATGCATACTGAGATGTGAATCGCATTCATTTAGAAAATTTTGTTGAAGATTCAATTACATTTTAAAATTCAATTGATGTGTGATTGATAATTGACGATTCATTGCGAATTTATTGATAGGAAAAAATACATTGCCAAAAAAAAACAATGCGATCATATTTCAATATGATCAATTGATACACGTCGAATATTTAATAAATTCTATAATCATATCAACATTTAATTGCTATTATGAAAGTTGTTTTTAAATGGAATCAAATTTTTATAGAAGTATCTTGATTGTTGTAATTGATAGTGATTAATTACTACATTAAAAATTAATTCATTATTATTAAAATGTAATTATGATACTTATTTGAGCAGTCATAAATCCAGAACAAATTCTTAAGGATGCAATATTCTCTCGTCTTACAGCTTTGAATCATATTTTCGACAGAGAAGCCTAGAAAATAGTTTTTTTGTCACATCACCGCGGAAAGTTCGATTTCCCTTCCCTCTGTCGGTGAACGAAAGTACGACTTTTTCATGCATACGGAAACAAAATTGATTTTTGTGCGCATGCGCCACATTTCTGACGCATGCGTCGTAACACGCATCTGACTCAAACACATGTGCATCGCATCTAACATTGCTCGATTCACGTCCAAACACTTTACGAAAATAAATTTCCAGATTAAATTGTTATTTAGCAATACTTCGTTAATGGACAAAGGGTAGGAAAGTTGAACGCACTGATGAAATTTAACAAAAATATTATGAAAATTATAGGAAATAATTTATTTGAAAATATTGAAATAGTTCAAACAAAGATTCCAAAAAACACAAACTTTTACAGATTAATTTTAATAATTAGATGATAAATAATTCCAATTACAAATAAAAGAATTAACTAAGAACTTAAATTTTCAATGATAATTTAAAATGTTTTTTAACGATAACATGAACACGTGATGAATTAATATTTGAGTTTAATAGCCGCTTATTCATTCTTCACCCTTCGGATTTTTTCCATAATATATATTAATTGTTTCTACTTTATCAATTTTAATATTTATTATAGCTGGTATTTCCTCTTTTATTTTGTTATTATTTTTATCATTATTTTTTTTCTTTAAATCATTTGTTGATTTTATCTGTATAGTTGGTGGTTGGAGTTGATCAGCTTCTGAAATATTTGGATTATGCCCTGATATGTGCGAGTTCTGATTGTGTCCATCTAAGCCATCCACTTGTTCCAATTGCTTAGAAGATCCAATATTTAATGTTGTTTCTTCATTTACTATTTCAAAGTTATGGTCAATATTAGTGGTTTCTTGAAAATCGTGTTCCATTATATTAGAATTGTTATTATTTTTATCTAGAGTTGTTTGTTCTTTTAGTTTTTTATATGTTGGAACATTTTTATAATTTTCTATTGAAATTAAAGGTCTTTTTTGATTATTGCTTGACTTCGTTGTATGACAATTAGTTTCTAATATTGACTTGTTAGTCTGTATTATTGCTGAATCGAGATCTTTTGTTACAGTACAAGATTTTTCTGATTGTGTTATTTTATTAAAAATATTATTTTTGTTGAACAATGAGTGCTCTATATAACCCTCAGCAACTGCACTGGATCTCCATCCACCGTGTTCTTTAATTGTAGTTAAAGTAGCACCAGAATTAGCAAGTAATGTAGCCGATGTCCTTCTAAAGCAATGCCCAGTATATCTATTGGGATCTGGTAGATTTAAATAGCATGCGATGTTTTTCGGTACTTCAGCAATTTTGTTCTTGCCTATAACATTGCGAGTACATTTAAACTTCATGTAAAAAAGGAAAAATCTGTCTGTATCAATGTCTTTTGGTCTCAATGATATATATTGTTTCACTCGATCATAGTAAATTTCTCCTATAATGAACGATCTTGGATAACAATTTTTGGTGTCCTTGATGGTTACTATAAATTGAGTTTTTGTGTCTTGAACATCATTCATTTTAATGTTTGCAATTTCCATGGATCTTAATGCCCCGCATATTCCGAATATCAAAATGACCTGTAATCGACATGAAATTTTAGAATTTTTATAATAAGCTAGAGTGACTTATTTTCCATATTTTATCACAAAACCGATCAAATTTTTAGTGAAAATCGAAGAATTTTACAAACATGACATTTCTATGTTAGCTAATACAAATTCTAATGTATAGTAGATTGTAATAGGTAAATTTTGACAGGTTTTGTATAATTAATAGAGACCAAATTCAATAACTTATAAAATAATTCATAGAATAATTAATAGACATTAGTTTTTTAAATATTAATAAAATTGGATAACTTAGTATTATCAATGAATTAAACTAACCTTCATGCCAAGGTAGATTTCATCAGGAGCACTATTTAGAAATTTTGTCACTTCTTCCAATGTAAGAACTTTTGCTTTTTTGGTGTGGTAACCTTTGGCTTTATTTTTTATAAACATTTTCAATTTCATATATGTATTAATATTGATTCCAAGATAGAGGTTACAAACATTTCTTAGCATGGACCATCGTGACCACAATGAATTTGGTTGTAGAGTTTTGGCCAGTTCATTGAAATATACCAAGAAAGCATTTTCATCTAACGTTTGAATTTTATTCTTATTCTTCCATTCCATGAATTGGTTATAACATCCTATGTACCGATTAGTTGATTTGGCAGGTAATAAGTCGTTGGTTATTTTTTTCGCTTCATTTTCAATATCTAAACACGAACTATCGGAACACGTAGAATCATCAGAATCTTCTGAAGCATTCATTATAAATTGCACAGCTTATTTTATTTTTTATTGAATAAATCACCTAGCGTATTGCACGAAGTGTTTAGACGTGAATCTAGCAATTTTAGACGCGATACCATATGTTTGAGCGAGACTCGAGTTACGACGCATGCGTCAGAAATGTGACGCATGCGCACAAAAATTAATATTTCAATAAATTTTTTTTACCACTTACTGTTATAATTTTCATGAACGAATATAATTAGTCAACTGAGTAACGAACTTTCCGCACAAATGTGACAAAAAATCGTATACGCACCTCAGGAAAAAAGTGGGCTTTTACAGGTCATGCGTTTGCTACTCGAGCCTTCGGCCTTCGGCCGAAGGCTCGAGTAGCAAACGCATGACCTGTAAAAGCCCACTTTCTTCCCACGGTGCGTAATATACTATTTTTATCACTTGATATTTCAGCTATACCAAAAGTTTTGATACTACAAGTTAAGAATCAATATTACTATGTCTTCTTTTATAATTTACGTCTTAATTAAAAATAATCTTTTTCATTTCTGTTTAATAATTAATTACTCAATGACTTATTCATTAAAAAAAGTTTGTGAACAAAATATTAATATTCAATGGCTACAATAAATGTCTGTTAAATTGAAAGAAGTCTCTTCATATGACATGATGGTAAAAGATAAAAATTTGAACTTTAACTACCATTATTGAAAAAATATGATCTATTGAGTCCAATAAGCACACTGAATACCTGAAAGATAGTATGAATGTCCAAAAATACTTTAACAATAACAAATCGAATGAACATTAAAAATTACTGAGGTCAGTTTTTTTCAAATTTGGCTGCTGAAGAAACTTTATTCAATACTTTTAGTGATAAAATATTCTGAATCAACTCAAGAGCTTCAACGGAGAAAAAATTAAGAATGTTCTGTAGAATATTTTAATTCAGGGTGTCTGGCAAAAAAACTGTATCTGAAAGAAATAAATAAGGACTGTCGGAGTGATCACTCCATCCAAGTCCTAGACACGATAAATGTTGCTGCTTGATTTTAAAGAAGGCGCGCACGGTTCTGTATTCACTGAGCTACGTCAAACTTATTAATTTTTTTTTCGTGCTTAATTATTGGATAATGAATATTGAAATCAAATATTAATTGAACAATACAATTCTTGGAATTAAGAATAATTACATATTCCGAAAAACAATTTTTTCATACAATGTTTGTGAAATAGTAACAAAATGATTTATATCATAACTTCTATGCTAATAATGGTACGGGGTTGATTGAGGGTTTAAATAAAAGATCTCGATGAGAGGGAAAAAATCGATATAGTTAAAATCATAATTAGAGCATAAGTAACGCTAAAATTACAGCAAGTTCCCGTTTTACCCCATTTTAAGAGTGAAATAATTTATTTTTCATATGTTTGGTCTGATTTCGTATTTCTACGCATTGAAACGAAGAGAATGAGTGGTCGAACTTGAAAATCGGACAACTTTTATTTTTCAACCCTAAAAAATGGCAAGTGGTACCCCTTTCCATTTTTTTCGACCAAAAAATAAAAGTTCTCCGATTTTCGAGTTTGACCACTCATTCTTTTCCTCTCGATGCGTAGAAATGCGGAATCGGAGCACCGCCCCGAAAAATTTACTTTAACACTCTCAAAATGGGGTAAAACTAGATACACATTAAAAATCATCATCCCCTTGACTTCAAATCCCTATAACTCATGATCGGACGGGCCAGTAACCATTTTTAGGAATGTTTTGAAAACCTTAAAATTTGAGCTATCTAATAATATTTATAGATTTATAGAAAAAAATTTCTTTCACCCTTAAAATCGCAAAAATATAAAAAAAAAATCACATTTTTTTGGGATTTTGCCAAATATTTTAGCGATTTTAGGGCGAAATAAATATTTTAAATGTTTTTCATGGATACATATCTTTAGCTTAGATTCTGAAGTTCTGAAACACGTCTTTATAATCATTATTAGTTAATTTGTATGAGAGTTATAGAAGAAAAAAAATTTTGTTCCTTAAACGTTCCCCATAGTCCCACGTGGAGAACGTCGGGGAACTTCCCCACTTGGGAACATTCGGGGAACTTTTGGGGAACGAATTTTTTTTATACGGGTTAAATAAATATAAATCGGCACAAAAAACTAAATATTTAACAAGCCTAGCAATATTATACTATCAATATCAGTTTTAATAATAAAAATTGAATTTTGTTGTAATTTCAATATTGTAAAAACAACGAATTTTCTGATAGTCAAGTTTTATATATATACATTTTTTTTTTTTGAAAAAACAAAGAGCTACAACTTCTATTGATGAAATACCAAATACCATTTGAGCTAGTAAATATAATGTTTGAATAGATGTGAAAATGAGTGTAATGGACATAAAAATTCATGTAAATATTTGTAATATTTTGATAAAAATCATTATTGATGCTCGATTAATGTTTAGTGAAAATCAAATGTAAAAAAACAATATAAACCTTTTTCTAAAATCTCACTCTCAACATCGACAGTTGACTTCTAAATTAAATTTAAACTTAATAAGAGTTTCTAAAATACACCTGCTTGCCATAAATATTGAAGTATGAAACCAAAATATTCAATAAATCGGCTACTTGGAGTGGGAAATAGTGAATTAAAATGATGCCTCCTTAATTTATAAGTTAAACTTATATATTCTTATATGGCCTGAATAATTTTCAGATTAATAAATATAATTTAATTTATTCTAAAATTTGATGTAAAACAAATTATGGTCTATCTTTATAATTTTCTAAAGTTGAAAGTTGGCACGAGAATCCCGAGCATCTCTAAATTATTATATGATTTCATAAAAATTCTGTGGCACTGCAATGCAAAAGTTTACTTCATGAAAGATTCATAAGTAATTATAACCGGTCAAATCTAAATTGAAAAGACTCAAGATGAAATGCCAAACGAATATTTCTCCTTTTTACTGTGATAATTATGTATCGTTAGAAACTTTGCATTTTTTCCATTTAATTATTTCAGTAATATTACTTTTATTCTCAGCAGTTATAAACAACAATAAAACACTTTTAATTTGTGTCTACTAAAAGAAACTTTATTATTCAGCATCATAATTGATACATTTTACTCATAATTTAAATAATAATCTTAAGTAAGCATTTTATTGTAAAAAATATTTTTAATTCATTCACCTTTTTTTTTAAATATTTATGTTATAACTTATAATAATATAATTATAAAATATATTTTCTACATACAAACAATGTAATAAAGGGAAATTCTCTTCTTAAATTATCTGTTATACTATTGAACAGTCATTCTAAACTTGCTAATACTTTTCACTACATAGTTGATATAGTTGAATCGAAACAACGGGTGGATTTTATTGGAATATCTATAAGATATTTTAAACATTTAAAATTCTTCGTTTCAATAGTGTAAAGCATCGGATCAATATGAGCATGAGGTTTCCTTTTCGAGTATTCCAAGTGGCTCCGTGACAATGGATTATTGATAATCAACTTAAACCTTAGAACATTTTTGACAATCACTTTAATTTATAAAAAAATACACTTATTTAATAATAGCATAATTTTATTTTCATAAATTTTCAATAGATAATTTTAAGTAGTTTGTTTGTTGTGAATTATTATAATTTTAATTTATTAAAATAAAAATACAATTCATGGCATCAGTAAAAATAAATTGGTAACAAAAATATTTTTTAACCATTTTTGATAATTCGTTTATGTGTAAATACTTTTTGAGCATCGAATACAGAAAACAATTGAAAAATAGTAAACATTCACGGTTATGAGAATACCACTGTTTGAATTTAAAGTAAAACTGCACTTTAGTAAATATTTACTATTTTGAAATAGTCTTTACTGTTTTACTTTTAGTGAGTAGATAACGCACTTAGTTATTAATTTGAAACGTTCCAGACTCATTTATAATAAATAAATAAAGTCATTTAAAAAACATCGCAATTTAACTTGGCATTAAAATAATGTAATTGCACCATTCATCTTTCTACAATTTTCTTTATGACTTGCTTTCTATGATGTTTTATCAAATTTATTTAACAAATTATCTTTTCCATCATTGGGTAAATATGTAACACATAAATCAACTTCTTAATATAAATATGTCCTCTCTCAATTACTGCATAAACTCTTTCAATAATATTTCATCAAATTACCTGAAACAACCTTTAAAATATTAAAGTTAGTTTTACTAATATTTTACAACTTATCTATGTCAACTACACAGAGAGAAGTATCGCATAAAAAATATCCTGTCATTTGGTGGAATCTTGGTATACTGTTCAAAAAAAGGAAAATTTTCTTTAATATTAATGATATTTTTGCTCTTTAGTTATATAAAAAATTTTTAATCTCTGACAAACTTAAAATCCCTGAGTTTACGATACGATAACTTTTATCATTTTTTCAAATGGGTGGAATTAAAATCTATTATGATAAGTATTAATTATTATTATACTTATGATAATAAGTTTTAATTCCACCCTGTATAATTAATAACTGATTATTATAATGTTCAGATAATAATTGATTAATAATTAACTAGACAGGGACAAAAACATAAAACTCAAAATTAACAGATGTATTTCCACTCGGATAAACAATGATTTGTGCTATTTTTAAATATCATAAATGTCATTTGCCATATACCAGAATTAAAATAAAATACACATCAAAAAAATGTACAAAATATATCTTAAACTAACGATAAATTTTTCTACATTTGAAAAGGAATTAAAAATAACTACAAGGGAGGTAAAAACATTCGCATATGGCAATTTAACATCAAACGTATGCACATAAATAATAACGTGTCAACCGACAAAAAACTTCTTTCATTTCTCATGGATTCAGTATTATGAGATTCTTACGCTATTACACTTTTTCCTTGGAAATTAATTAATAAAAAAATTTTACATATGAAAAATGTTTAAAATAATTTTAAAAGAAATTTCGTAAAAAAGTTTTAAATTTTTTTATTTAAAATGTTTTAGTTATATTGAGAGATAACAATCAAAGTTTATAATGTAAATATACAGTACACTTGTAAGTGTATAGAAAAAAAATTGTTCAATTTTATATTAAATCGACACAAAAGAGTTTTTTACAATTTTATGAACGTTATAACTTCATTGATTATTTTTTTAAAAATAATTACCTCCATAACAATAAAAATCATGAATGCAGTTTTATATGAAAGAGGAAATTAAACCTTTTATAAAACTTGGAAAATATCGATCGAGATTGAAACTAAATGGCGTTTCATTAAAGAACCGAACATTCATTTAATTTAGTTGGATAATCTTGCATTAGAAGTCATGTAAAGAGAGTACCTGGGTCTTCGACGACGAGAACACGGTGCATATAACAAAACCCATTTCCTCTTCGCCAATATTGACACATTGTCTATTCGTACATTGGTGATTGTATGTGCATGTATGTGTCTGTATAAAGTGCAAACATACGTCAAAAGGATACAGATAATAGGAAACAGTTCGAATTATAGTATAGCATTACTTAAAGCATGTTTAAATAACTATTACACATTTATATATGAATGTATCTCTTTTAATTATTTTTTTTCAATTGATCCTTTACTATTATTGCTTACACAACTTATCAATCTCTTATCTACAAATATAAAAACTCATTGATATTTCATCAATTTATACATAAAGTGAAAATTCCATTTTCACAGTTTGTTTAATTATTTCATAAATCCAAATTTCACAAAATATATTGTACTAATATAATTTATACCAAAAATATACGTAACATTGGAACTGTGAGGACTTTTATATAAATTATTAATCGAATCACTTTGTAATTAAATTCAATTTATTATAAAAATATTTAAAACTTCTTTTCATTTATAAAAGAATAAAAATCTATTTTTACTCTGTCTATAAATAAATATTAATTTTTTTTATTTTATTTTATACGTAAGAAGTAATAATTTAATTTTTTTTAAGTACTATAAAACTATAGAAATAATAACGTATGAAATTATTTTAAAAAAAACTAAAATCTCAAGTTCATTAAATTGATCAGCACATATGTCAGTTTATTTTTCTAACAGGTACAATTTGAATTGATATTTATTTATTGTTAGGTCGCCATATAAATGATAAATCGATGACAATTTTTAAATAAATTCTTTAAATCAGAACCAAAACAATTCTATACAAACACTTTTAATTGTTCGCTCGATAAGTGGAGACGTGCAGTTGATTGACGGCGCTTATGTTATTCATAAATAAATATTATAAATTAAAAACATTTAGTTTAATTCATTTCGTTGTAATTGCTCATTATTTACTAAGCTAAGCTAATAAATTTTTTTATAAACGAACAATTGTCAATTGTCAATCATCCAAATATAAATATTGTACGATATGTTATTTTCACTAATATTATAAGATCATAAGCTCTTTTTTTTATTTATTAAGGCTAATTGAGACTAAAAAACACGGATTATTTAAGTCTGTTGTTCTAAAATTACATCTCTATACAACTTGTTTAATGTCATGTCAATAATTTTACACTAACAATGAGTGAAATTAAAATACAAGTGTCCATTATTACACGTCATCACTTTATTGAAAAACATCAAGTACAACTTCATAATAGGTGATTGTTATTTAAAGCTATTAGAATATCTACATGAAAAATGTGTCAACAAAAAAAGTAATTCATTTTGGAGAATTTTCATCTCAATTTTTTATGAATTTAATAATTACTACTTTATTTTTAAGTTTATTTATCAATATTTTTTTAGTGCATTCCAAAAATATTTTATGATGACACCTTTTTTCTTAAAGTGAACTTGAAATTTTGTCTTTAAAAATTTTCAAAAAATAAAAGTATTATAATTAAAAATCACCGAGAGAATCTAGAAAAAATTAAATAAAGCACTCAGTACGAAGTAATTTTAATACCTATAAAAAATACTTTACTGATAGTATAGAAATTAATTCAAAAATAATTTGTTAAAATAGTAATAAAGTGGCAATGAATAAATATTCCACTAATTGAAGTTACTGTATCTTTATTTGCCGTGTTAAAGTAACATATTATTAGACTGATTTAAAAGTTCATTATGAAAATTAAATTAACAATTCTTCCACTAATTTATTGATAAACAAAATACACGAATTAAAGGTGAAAATTACATACACGTTATTCTTCTCCTATACATAGATGAGTATTCTCTATTAATTTATAAGCAATAATTCTTTGGACATGTAGATATTCAAAGCCCTGAAATATTTATCAAGCTCAACTACCATGTAGGAATGTACATGGTAATTGAGGGTTAATCGAATAACTGTCATAAATTAACAATAAATTAGATAGTAATGATAATAACACAGCTAATATGTTTTAAAAAATAGCTCCATCTGGTAAACCCACAATTGTTTCGGCTCAAAACGTATCTGCAACAGCCATTCTAATTACGTGGAAACCACCTAGTCTAGATACATTGAATGGTGAATTTCTCGGTTACCGTATTTCCTATAAACCTCGGCTAAAAGGAAGCAACATCAAAGAGATTTACATACGCAATCGAAAAATTGAGGTAAGCTGTAAAACCAATATCCATTACTATTTTTCTATGATGTGAATGCCACAACGATTAACTTGAATTTTTTATTTTATTTTTAGAAACACATTATTCAAAATTTGGAAACTTATACGCAATATATCGTTTGGTTACAAGTGTTTAATCCTGAAGGTACAGGGCCTAACACTTCTGTAACAGTGATGACAGATGAAGGAGGTAAGTTTATTCATGCTAATGTCATTTTTACATTAATAACCGAGTGTAAATAGACTTCACTAATTAACTCGTCGTCCATCGCGTCCTGAGCGTTGTGTTGCATTTTTTTAATTACTTTATAATGGAGCAAAACACAATTTTGTGTAAATGTAATCCGTACTTCGTATGTTGTTTTATTTAGAAATCTAATTTTTACAGACATTTTTTTTGTAAAAATTAAATATTTAATTTTTTGTAGAATGTTATTCTAAAAAAGCCACATTAAGTTGCTCATAGGTCTTAAAATGAGTACAGTAGTTATTTTTTGGAACATAGTTTCTATACCAAACAGATAAAATGTTTTACAAACATCATAACGAATAATACTTATAGCGTTTTTAATTTATCAATATGTGGCAATGCTGTAAAGTAATTACAATTATTATAGAATACTATTGCAATGTAACCAATCCAGATTCAAATTTTCACGCGATTAATGAAGGGTTAATGAGATTTACATAAAATTAATTTTCATGAAACAAATCAAATTTACATTTATTATTTGTGGTACTGATATGCATATTGTTTTCGAAATATAATATATATATATCAATTTTCAAATAATTAAAACAAACTTTTGATAATCAATACTTCTTTATCATTAGTGTTAGTTACGGATGATGAAATGATATGATACATTGGAAATCAAATAAAAATACTCATTAACTCAGTGAAATTCCACTGTACTAGTCAATCGTGTTTTTGCTTGAAAAATTTCCGAACAAGCTACGCGTCAATACAAGGGTAGTGACCTCGAGGTGAACTGGAGGTCATCAACTAGGATAGTAAATGATAGATATATATATGTGCAAGATTTCTGCTTTACTTTCAGCTGTTAAGGTAGAATTCTTGTCAAGAAGAATGATTTTAATTACCGATCAATGATAATATTCACAGCCGGTAATCTAGAACTGTCATAAATGAATCGTCGGTAAAGCAGAATAAAATCCTCAATAAATTATTTTTTTCAAATAAAAGCCTTCATAAAAAAATCTGATTGTACGTCAAATATAAAATACAGTACACCAATATGAAAAGTATTTTCATTTATTACTATTATGAATTCATAATAATGATGTTAATCTTTTTTATTTACAAAATAATGTGAATAGAACAGAAGGAAACCTCTTGAGTCTTGTTGAGTTTCCACCTGACATTCAAAAGAAAGCATTATAATCAATGGCAGCTGCACTAAGCATTAGAAAAGTAGACGGCCTCGAGATGTACAGATTGAGCGCAGGTGCAACACATAGGATAGAAAGCGAGAATATGTAAAAGGTATGATATTATGTGGAAAGAGGTGGTGTTTGGCTCTTGACATCAATGCTACAGCCCTGAACATGAGGTTTGTTCTCGAGACTCTCTATACAGTATATACAGTATGCATACTGGTCATCCAGTTAAACAGGCTCAACTAAGTTCGACCATCCCAACTCTCACGACCAGCCTCATTGTTCTGAGTGGTATGGGTTTGCTACTCGGTTAGCCTGGGTTAGTTCATGACAAGACAACAGCGTGTGGAGTAGAGTGAATGTATGAAAGCAACAAAGAACGCATTTTCGTACTTGTACGTCATATCTGAGAAGTGCATTGTTGTTAAAAATATGACTATGTGAGAAAATACTGACATTTTGGTTATTTCTGTCAAAAAGGAAAGTGTCCCGTCACACGTGAATTAGATTGAAAGTGTGTACGTACTGTATATGTACATTTCAAAATGGAAATGCAATATTGGACCACGACCTACAGTGCACTTTTATCAAATTTTGAAATCTAAAAGTAAATTAGCTTGTCGAATACGTTGCTAGGGCGTCGTTGAAGTCCTTCTTCAAGTGCGATCGAACATCGTTTCGACAGTATACAGTCTGACAGCTCCATGTAGGCGCGTGTACCTCTTTTAAAGTGTTTAGTTGTATGCGCTAGCGCATGTATATAATTGTAAAGTCTGTGAGTCCAGTGTGCGCTAATCTACATTTGTGTGTGGCTTTGTGCGCCGGTCGATTGCCACAGCCGGAGCTCGGATGCTCCTTGCTTCAAGGGGGAAAAGCATCGAAGCATAGCATCAGTGTATCCGCACATGTTTGTATAGAAAAAAATAAAGATATGTGTATCTCAACATGAAAAACTTTTTGTGCATAAATAGATTCATGGGAATCGTAAAATTAAAATTGTTTTAATTAAGTAGTCTTTATACATGTGAGGCTAGTGACTTCAGTTTGAGTGGATGACTAATTCATGTCTCTTCTTCATTTATGAATCAGTCCTTGGATCTATTCAGTGAGCTAATAAAAGTGGAGGGCTTCAACTGTTACAATCCTACACGTGTGATGTGTAAAAATTAAACATCTATCATTTATTCATAAAAGTTGACTTTCAAATAAATGCAATACTTTTTATACACTATAAATTATTCATTGGAATATTTGCAAAATGATTCTCATTATTATCAATACAAAAGTTAGCAGTGTTGTTTAATCCATGACAGAAGAATTTTTTATATTTATTATTTATTTACTGCTATAGTATGCTAACGGAAACAAGCAATAGCACATATATACATATATACAATAATAATAACATAGAATACGAATGTGCTTAAATTTCAAGAAATGAGTGATAATTTCAGCAAATAGAAATATTGATATTAGAAAATAAATCAAGAGAAGAGCAAGCGCAGTTGCCATACATAATGAAAATATCTAGTACACTTGGTAAAGTAGTTAAAATAATGAGAACAGGAAGTGGTCAAGGATATTAAAATACAAATCTATGAAATGCAATTGACATTATGCTCCAAAAAAAATTTGATAATAATAACATTATTATTTGAATTATTTAACCAAATTTTTTGGTTAAATCCACAGCAGCATTTATTGAATTAACGCGTTCCACATACAAAAGTGGAAAAATAAAGGCTTATTTTATTACATAGAAAAGTGAAACCCGTTGAGGTATGTTACGGATATCCTATTGATAGAATAAACGTCGAAGACTTTGAATTGACTTGAAGAAATATTTTTTTTACCACCCTCAAGATTGTCATCAAACTTTCAAAGAAGAAAATTAGCGACCGTTAGAAAAAATGTTACGGCATCCTGAATGGTAAAGGGAAGTAAGAAATTATTTTTAGGCAAACAACGAATTTGGTTCTAACGTTTAGTCGCAGCTGCTGTAAACTATAAAGAAGGCGACTAAAATGTCGGGACCAATGATAGCCCGAGGTTCTCAACCAATCATTTCTATAACGTCAACATTTTTAATATTATTCTCAATTATCTCAATTGTCGCAACTCAAACAGAGAATTATGAAACTCAAATGAGCCCTGATGATGATTCAGGAGGTAATAAATTTTAAATGTTATCATAATATTATACTAATTCTACATGAAATCATTAAGTAATTATACATTAATATAATTATTAAAGCATTAATCACTTGGTATATAAATAAACAGTTCTTATATAGATTATAATAATGTTACAGCCTATCTGTACTACAATGATTTAAATTTAAAAACACTGCTTATGATATGAAAGATGAAAGCGGTTGAGCACCGAATAAAATCAATACAGGAATATTACAGCCCAGTCTCCCTATTTTAATTCATAATTAAAAAATAGTTATCATAAGATAAATTTAAATTTATTATTGTTTTATTTTAATTAACGAATTTAATTAAAAAAACAATTAATTTCTAAAAAACTTACTACAACTCATATTTAATCATTTTTTTAACGACTACATAAATGTAAGAATTATTATTAATGTTGCCAACAAAGTAAATACTCTAATTGATATTAATTTTCAAATTTACAAATAACTATTTTCTTCAGATATTTCTGATTTTTTTATCAGACAATTAGATAAATAGATATGCATATCAAAAGCAGATCATTTATTCTAACAATAGAAAAAATGTTGATTTATAAATCAAATAACCAGTTTTTATAGACTTGCAAAGTTAAGTTTTTAGAGACATTGGGCGTTAGTCTTGCTTGAGTATGATTTATATTGACAAAGTTTAAACTTCCTCAATATTGTTATAAAATCATTTACAATCTAGGTGTATATATAAATAGTGATTTAAAAAGCAATTTTAGTCTGTTACGAAAAACTTTAAAAATACGCTGAAAATCAACAACGATGAAAACAGAAGTAAATTGAAATATTTCCATTTTTATTCATTTTGTCAAAAGTATGTCAATATTAATTCAATGAATCAACTTATATTTTTGCTTATAAATGCAAACAAAATACTTTTCAGCTATATTAATTACTATTTTTAAACAAAATTAATATAAAAACACACAAATTATATTTTTATGTGTTTAAAGTTAAATAATAGTATATCTTAATATACATAACTATCAATTATCTATTTAGATTAAATTCTGATAAACTACCAATTTCACTCAGCTCATAAATGCTTACTTAAAGTCCTAATAAACAGTAGTCGTTTATTTAATATAACAACGTTACTCTATAAAGATTAATTATAGTTTATCATCACAGAGTATCAATGACTTTTGAAGTTTTAAATTTATCTCTGATAAGAAAAGATTAAAATATTAAATATCCTTAATAAATTCAATAAAGAGTAATTTGATTATCATGAGTACTTATTATAGATAAAAAAATTGTTTCATTGAAGCGTGACAATAGATAATGTATTAGAAAGCTACTTCATTATATGTATGAGATTTCATACTGTAAGCTAAAATATTTTCGAAATATTTATCATTTAATTATATCATTAAGCTTTAAGTACAACTTATTTGAAATTCAATTTTTATCGAAAAAACTTGTCAGTAAACGACTGACTTTAATTTTCATTGGCACATTTCATTATATAAGTTTCCAATTATATAATATTACCTATGGTAGTTTTAATTATAATTAATATTAGTTAATTAATGCGTAAAGAATTTTGAATTATTAATGTTAACGAATACTTGGGTTTAATCATAGTTTCATTTTTCTTATCCATTAAATTCCATTTTTTGTTCTTATATAATAAGTTATTTTAAGTAGATAAATAGAGTTAATATAAAAAGAATAATTATAAAACATATATTAATCAGTTGATTACAAAAAAAGAAGAAATCTTAAGATACACAAAATCGAAAGCGTAGCTAATTTATTCGTTATTAATAATTTTATCTTAGTCATTTTGATAATTGTTTTTTTCTTAAATTATTAGACTGCATTTTTTTCACTTTGTATCTAGTCTAATTATATTTGAAAAGTAGAACTCAAGTAAAATAAAATGCTCTAAATGTTCGTATCTTGAATTTAACTCGTCACAACATTTAAATTAAATTAATTTATATTATTAAATTTTTAGATATATGTTTAAAAAATTCATTTTTATTATTTTCTAGTTCCAAGTACACCCTTGAGATTAACTGCTCACGGAACAAATTCAACGTCAATAGAGTTATCATGGTCAGAACCAAAGCATAAGAATGGGCATATCCTTGGATATCGTGTTTTTTATATGCATTCAAATTTTACTGAGGTAAAAACATTAAAAGAGATCAATGAAACAACAGAATTCGTCTTGGATGAACTAAGTAAGTATTTGATGAAAAATTTATATCAGAGATAAATATTTTTTATATTCAATATTAATGCAGACTATTATTTTAAAACCAGTTTTGTATGAATTATTTGTTTTTAAATTATGTTGACTATAGCGAAAAATCTTATTATTTCCAAGTCTCGTATATTTTAAAATGCAAGTAGATATAATACATGGTCGTTAGTAACATTACCAATGCGTGCAACATACTAAGGCTACGTCATTGCTTCTGTTAAGAAATCATTAAAACATCATTGTTTCTTTTTTAAAATAGCAAGCAGTAGCTAAAAAGAAGCTTATCTTAATTATAATAATAAAATATTTTATTTATATTTCAGAACCAATGACTGAATATAAAATTTGGGTAAAGGCATTTACATGGAAGAATGAAGGAGAACCTTCTGAACCTATTATTCAAAAGACTGATGTTGCGGGTCCAAGTGCCCCTGTAATTTTTAATCTCACTTGCCAAGCTCATGATGCAATATATGTCTATTGGGCACGCCCGAAAATTTTTTGGAACTCTATTGATTACTATTATGTAAAATATCGAAATGATATGCTCAATAAATATAATGAAATCGAAATTCCTGCTACTGAAGAACATCTTCATAGTGGCGTAAGTACTTTTATATTAAATTTTCTATTTCATAAGAGTCTAATTATAAATTATCAATTGAAAGATTTATGAAATATGAATATGTGCTAGTCAATTCTTAGAACAATCAATGCAAGTAAAGTGAATTCTAAAGATTAATGGAATGTTTCATTCACTACATGAACGTATAAAATTATTCAAATACTCAAATACCGTTCATAAATCTAACAAGTCAATAAGTTAATGCACTTAATTTATTGATAATGAATGCCAATATTTTCTATAGTTTTTAATTAAAATAATAATGAATTAACTTTTTGCAGACTACCTTTTATTTATGATGAATATATTATTGCATTATTGATTAAAAAATTAACCTATTTATGACTAAAAAACTTGATTCAATAATGATTAAATGAAAAAAGCTTTAAATCAGTTTTCGATAAATAATTAATACGTTATTATTGATTTCAGATCACCATACCAAATCTCACAATAAACACTATGTACGAAGTAATGGTGTGTGCAGGAACTAATAGCACTATTAATCCACACACCGTTGTCAGAGGTGATTGCAGTCCACCAAAAACCCAACGCGTTGCTCGTAATTGTGATAAAACACCTCCTCTAATGCGTCGAAGTACCGATGAACTGAGTCCAGTCGTTATTGCTACAATGATATGTGGCTGTTTTGTTGTAATGCTGGCTATTACAGCTTTAATTTTATGGAGGTGAGAACATATTGTATCAAGTCTATTCTTAACTTGGAAAATGATATTATCTACTATGAAACTCTTTAAATAATCGTTCACTTTATGATACATGAACCAACCTATAGCAACTTATAAAAACAGACAATGTAGTGATAAAATCCCTTTCTTCTTCTTTATATTATCTCTAAGATAACGACCACAACTGATAAGAAATCAACACGCTTATTTCTTGAACATTTGTCTAGTAACTGCTTAGTTTATCTTGAGCTTGAAATCCGTGATGAACGTCACGTTTTATTTTCATTATTTTGAATACAAATCAAACTAATTTTAATCATTAATTCATCTCGTCTATTACAAGTTACTATGGAGAATATATCGAGAAAAATTTCGTAAGAATTCTATTCACATAAAAAGTCATTTTTAAAATAAATTATTTCAATGATACACAAATATAAAAACAAATCAGCAGACATTTTCATTTATTGAATAATATAAATTCTATTGGACGAAGTTCACAATGTTATTTATGGTGGAAAAGTTTATAGTAAAAAATGTATTTAATGTTACTCATTGACTTCATTTTTTCTTTCATTTTATTATAACTTTTTGATTATTTACAATTGGATCATTAAAATGACAAATCCATAATATATAGAATGAATATTCGATGAAAGATAAAATATCGGATATGATAAAACGTCTTTATCAAGATTAACATTCATGACGAGAATTGTTTAAAAACAAAGAAATTTATATTATTGAAACGTATATTGTACCATTTATTATTAAAATTTTTATTGAACTTGATGAATTAAATATTGATGTAACATTAAGATGAAATTCAATAATACGAAATTTCTGTCTGTATAACGAATATATATATAGAATACCTCAATAACTTTTTAGAGTCGTAAAGTTGACTAGGTTTCAGTAAATGAGATTAGAAAAAAAAGAAAGAACATAAGTGATTATTATCGTGTTGACTTAGAAATACTTTTCACCAAATATAAATTGAGTTACATAAATGAATGATTCACAATCATAACTAATTTAAAAATAACAGTGAAATTTTTTTCGAAATTCAACTTTACTATTCTCTTTATTTAATGATTACTTTAATTATATTGATAAATATAAATAGAATATTATTATTAATGTGAAAAAATTGAGTTAAATTTTTAAAAAAATTGTAAAATCAAAATATACATTCTAATAAAGCCGCCTTATAGGCGTGTTTTTAGAAAATGCTTTCAAACAACGTACTGTTTTTTGGATTATCCACCAAGAAATGTATCATCACATCAGGAATGGGAAAATAGTAAACAAGACGGTGAAAGGACGGCAGTTCCAGTATCTCAATACGTTCAACATGTAGCATCACTTCATGCAGATGGTGACATTGGATTTAGCAAAGAATTCGAACTATTTCCAAAAGAAACTGAACTTTATATTGCTGACAACTCTAAATCTGCAGAAAACCAATCGAAAAATCGTTATGGGAACATTATAGCATGTAAGTCATAATTAAATCACTTATAAATTATCTATTTAATTAATGACAACAAGCAATAATTCTTATTATTTCATTACAGATGATCATTCTCGTGTTCGATTGCTTCCTTGTAGCGGAAGTCCTTCAAATAAAGGTCAGGATTACATAAATGCTAATTATATTGACGGATGGCAACGATCACGTGCATATATTGGTACCCAAGGGCCATTACCATCAACAATCGATAGTTTTTGGCGAATGGTTTGGGAGCAACGTGTATCAATTATTGTAATGATCACCAATCTCGTAGAACGTGGTCGACCGAAATGCGATATGTATTGGCCTAAAGAAGGTTCCGAGACTTATGGTCACGTTCAAGTGACTTTAGTTAAAGAAGACGTAATGGCTACTTACACTATTCGAACACTTCATATCCGCCACATGAAAGTTAAAAAGAAGAAAAACGGTTCTAACGTTGGCGAACGAACGGTCTATCAATATCATTATACTGGATGGCCTGATCATGGTGTTCCTGACCATCCTTTACCTGTATTAAGCTTCATTAGAAAATCATCAAGTGCTAATCCCCCATCTGCTGGGCCTATTATTGTTCATTGCAGTGCTGGTGTAGGCCGCACGGGTGCCTACATTGTCATCGATGCAATGTTGAAGCAAGCGAAAAGTAAAAATGAAATAAATGTTTTTGGATTTTTGAAACATATACGTACACAACGATATTCACTAGTCCAAACTGAAGAGCAATATATTTTTATTCATGATGCTCTCCAAGAAGCTATTGAAAGTGGGGAAACAAATATTCCAGCTGACAATTTATTACAACATGTTCAAGAGATGCTTTCTCTATCGAATTCACGAATAGATCCATGGAACAACATTGAAGCTCAATATAAACTCGTAACATCATGGAAACCAAAAGACTTTAATTTTGTGTCAGCTGGAAAATCGTTTAATGCTCATAAAAATCGTAATCCGGAAATAGTACCGATTGAAAATGCTCGTGTGCATCTAACACCAAAAGCTGGTATTGATGGTAGTGATTATATCAATGCTACATGGTTTTCTGGGTTCCATCGGAATCGGGAATTTATTTTAACGCAACATCCGTTAAAAAATACAATAAAAGAATTTTGGCAAATGCTTTGGGATCACAATGCTAAAACAATAGTGATGTTAACTCAATGTGATGATATAGATTATCCTGAATTTTGGCCTAGTGAAGGCGAAGAGCTCATGACAGATAATTTCCGGGTACATTTATGTGGAATCAAAAAAACTGTTAACGGCGTGGTTCTGAGGGAAGTTGTCATAAGATCGCTTCAAGATGACTATGAGTTAAATGCTCGTATCGTTCAAGGACCAGTAAATCAAAATGGCCTTTGGCCTCATAATGACAATCCTAAAGTATTTGTTAATATGATTCAAGACTTCTACAAGGAATACCAAAATGGACCCATTGTTGTTATGGATAGGTAAGCCGTAATAAATTTTTTAAAAATCATTATTCTCCTTACATGAATTATAATTAATTATATTCAAAAAATTATAATGAATTTTAGATATGGTGGTATTGAAGCAGCATTATTTATTCTACTCACAACATTGATGAAACAACTCGACTTTGAAAAAAGTGCTGATATTTACATGTTTTCTAAATTATTATACATGAAAAGGCCTGGAATTTTTCGATCCAAGGTAATGAAATATTCTAATTAATTTCAATTTGTTTTATATTGTAAAATGAAAAATTTGCATGTAACTTCATATAACTCTTTTTTATTGACAGGATGATTATGTATTGATATACAAATGTTTGGAATCTGTACTAACATCGAAAGTACGTGTTGAACCAGATCTTTACATCATGACGAATGGTCACGTAAATTGTTCTAGTGATTCAAATAATATGATAACACCAGTTCCTCCAGTAGAACACATTTCAACAAATTACCCAATGAAAAATGTTGGCATTCACGAATATACTGCTGTAGAAATGCCCATGGAATATGCAACAGACTATGCCAATCCTAATCATCTTAGCCATATTAATGATCGAGGTTGTTCTACAATCGACGGATGTACCGAGTTTAGTGATCACCATATACTAACTGATTCTGCGGGCCTACCACTTCGTAATCCAAATTACATCAATCATCCTGGCGTAGCTATTGACCCCAATGGATATATTACAAATGGAAATATGCGAATACCGCCTGAAGGAATGGAGTCAACTTGTACAATTATTCCTCAATGATGGAGGCATTCTGCGTCTTACGCTGAAAATACATTATCGGATACTTTGTTGGAACATACTACCAATAACTTATACACTGCCCCAACTAATTGCAATTCATTTGCTTACAGTTGGCATGGGTATTATACCACAATGCGAGTGACGCATAAAAAAAATGTCTCTATACCGGGTCAGTCTCGCTTTGATTTTGGCGAGTGCATTTAAATTATTTTATTTATTTTTAATAAGAAAATTAGGAAGACTTTAGTGATAATTATTTATAAATGTGTTATTTCAACTGTAAAAAGGTAAAAAGCATCTATTACCATATTATGTTTGGATGTAAACATGTCAAAGATAAGTCATTGGAATCGGAGAATTTAATAATATACATTAAATCCATCCATTAGTAATTTTCGACAACAGAATGAAAACTTGCATGATTAACAAAGGTAACTATGCTTTATTTGTAAATAATTTATGGACCATCTATGTAATCCAGTTGCCAAAGAATTAGTAAATTTATTAAATTTTCAAATCATACGATAATTATTACGCTAATGATAATATTAATAATATAGATCCATAGAAAGCTGTAAATAGGCGTGTATAATATTGAAATTCAGTTCTTCATAAATTATTGTATAATTTTCGTGCCAGTGCTTTCATTCATATAATAATTCCGTACAGATATTCTATTTCGAATCTGGATTAAATATAATCAGTTACAAATTGTAAAATATAATTGATTAAAATATCGTATAACGAACCAAAATACGATAGTTAATTGTTAGAAAAGTAAACGAAACAACAGTTCATCATTTATAAAAATCAATAAAAGAAAAGAAATCCTAATTACAACTGATTTAGTACAATTTTTAAAATTACACAATAAACAATCAAGTTTTATTTTCAATAGAAAATTCTAAAGAAAGTATATTCCACAATTAAGTCTATTAATTAATTAATATACCACTTAGTTTACTCAATTTTTTTTAATGATTATAAATAGGATTTAATTTCTCATATTTTTTTATACTAAAATGAAGTTGAATATATGAATAATTGAATATTACATATAGAAAATAAGACAAATTTTTTAATCTGATTTACTAAAAATTTTTTAATATACTTTATATACGTATATCTTAAAATTAGTAATACATGTCATTCACAAATAGCCTATAAAATGGCATCTTTAAAGACTGATGAAAAATATTCACTTTGCGTAAAACAGAGAGTAAATAAACACACATTAGACATTGTGTTATTAAAAAAAATACTGATAAAAGATACTGGGTATTGCAATTTGTATATGTGTGTAATACTACGCATTTAAAATCAACGAGTAATAGAAAAACTATCTGTCCAAACATTGTATGTATTTCGTACTCAACGTGTGAGTAAGAAGAATATTTTCTTTGTTAAACAAAATTAATTTAATTGAATATAGTGTCGTTAATGTACCCATAATACTTCTCGATATTAGTGAAGTGAAAAGTTAAAAATTGTTGTGCATGAGTTACAATCGATTGTAATCGATTGTTTTGTTGAATGTATACTAATAATCGTTGATATATTAGAAAATATATAGTATAGTATATATTATTAAATAAGATAAGTAAAAAAAATAATCTTTCTGCCTATGCATTCGAATGCTTGTACCATAATGTCATATAATAAATCTAATAAAGTATTCGAATAGTTTATTCGAATCAATGTTGAAATATAAAAATTAGAAATATGTAATTCTATTTAATTTTAGACTGTCAAAGTTATCCGTAACATGTTGCAGATCAAACGATGTATACTTTATTACTTACATGTTACAAACCAAAATTGTTATGCTGTCAGAGTATGGTAACGAATGAGTGTTTTGTCAATCGTTAGTCAACTACATTCTTAATCGTCCATAAACACTTTTTAAATTAATTTATGTAGATCAACCATTTATTTTTTATCAACATAATATGTTTTATCAAATTTTTAGAGTCTTTAAAAATATTGCTTTGTAAAGATATAGTAAAAACATGGCATTTACTATGAGTTACTTATGATCGATGATTATTCAAATTTATGCAACGTAGCATGGACGTTAAGATGATTTATTCTGTTTTCCCTGGTGAAGAGACTACAAATATGCTGCGGCAGGTTCCGGAGTGAGAATGACGCTTGAATAAAAAAGCGTAAGGTGAAATAAGCCAATAGCAAATAGAAAAGTTTATCTTTTCCTTACAAAAATATTAAAGTTTATTTGTTCAATCACAAATGGCAATTATCAGGAATGTTACAGTAATTATTACCAACACAATAACACTTTAGATCCCGTATTATCATTTTGCAATATTTTTTGTTCATATTCTTAGATGATTACTCATAAATATTAACAATTTTAATAAACAATCATGTTATAAAATACATAGTACATGAATTGATGAGCAGAATATAAATGAATAGAACTTTATTAAGTAATAAAAGTAATGATGTTGTGGATGTTGAAAGGACAAAAGTGATTGCTATAATTTAAAGTATGGCATGTGCCAAGAATTTTATAGAAGCTCTGAAAACTTTCCATATTAATATATCAAACGCTGTAGATTTACATGATCATGCATACACAATTATAATCTATGTATACAGATGTATATAACTATTAATTTTAAGATGATAAGAATAGATGTGAATAGCAGTAAAATATATTAGATTCTAGTCAGCATACTGCCTATAGAATGGCACATGCTTGCACCATATATTTACACACTGACATCATGATAAGAATAATCATAATTATAGTAATATTACTGTTAACATTAAATAATTATTAAAAAATGTAGGATATAAGACTGATGATCGAAAAATATGTGATTAAAATATTTGAGAATATTAAATCTATAATACTCAATCAAATACAGTGGAATATCTAGATTTCGTTTCATTACATACATAATCTATAAAAATATCCAAAATGATGTTTGATGCACAAATATACCTTTTTAACAGTTTTACGTTTGATATTATCGTAGGAATAAAATTTTACGTGTCCTGCATTTTTTTAATAAATCATTTTGAAGCAATAAACAGATACATCTTTGTTAAACAAATCTTATTTTATTGTATTTATAATTACTCAATCCTTAGTTTATGTTTTTACATTGAAATGATAAAAAAGTATGCTAAATGTGATGATACAATGAATGATTAATTCTCAAGAATTTATTATGGAAAATAAAAAAGATCTCGTCAAGTAACAAGAATTATCAAAATCCAGTAAAAAATTAATATTGTAATATATGCAGGATAAATAACAGAAATAAAAAATTGGAAAATATTCCCAAAACCATTATCAAATTATTGTATACTACTTTGCTAAAAAACAATCACTATATATTTGTCAATCTGTTTAATAGTTTTTTTATTTATATTTAAGATATTGCTGATTATATTTAAAAATAATACTTTTTTTACTGTCTCCTAAATATTGTATTACATCTAAAAGGAATGTTTGATAGACCAATATTACCATTTAAGCTATCTAATATAATTGCACAATAAATCAAATTACTGATACAGATGATTAAATTAATTGATTGATGAGAATGATTGCAAAGTTTTTTTAAAATTTTTAATAATAATAAAAGACATAAAAAAAGTTTCTATTTATAACGTTTGATTGAAAATTACATGTGCCATTTTTTATCTAAATACAATTACTTACCCAATAAGATCTACTTATCAATGATTATTATATTTCTATAATATAGTAGTAAAATAATTTATTGATTATAAATGAATATTACCGACTTTCTAGTTTTACGTATTTGCATGGAGAAAGACAAACATAAAAATGACAGATCATAATTGAGTAAATGTAATAAATGAACATATAATCATAAAAAGCTACAAAGTAATTAGAAAAATTAAGAATGGTTTAACTTACACTGATGTTGTGAACAGTGATAGGCCAAATATTATTAAAATAATGTGTTTGACGTGTCATTAAGATCGGAATGTAATTCGTTCGTAGCATCTTCATTATTCCCAACAGTTATTGTAAATAACCATTGTAAATATTTTTAGATTATATAAGTCGTAAAATATAAGTATCTTAAAATTTAACTGATGTAATAACACAAAGAATATAATGATTTGTAATGAAATATTTCATGTGCAGTAAAATAAATACAAAATAATATAAATGGTCGTGAAACAGCATCATTTAATTCTTATAATTATACGTATTTTTTTATATGTTTATATGCAAATCGTATAATTACATCCTTCTTCCATAAAAAAATTATTTATTTTGTATACTTAAAAATTTAGGAGAGAAAAAGCTATAAAAAATTTAAATCCAAAATTTATTTTGATTTTATTTGTAAATACAAACACAATTGTCGTTTACTACAGGTATATATCATTTCATTAGGGGTTGTTTATCAAATAATTCATAAAAAAAAATTCACAGATATTTATGTAATTTATGATGAACTATTTGATTAATGTGGATTTCAATTGTATCGTTTGTTATATCATACAAGTTTACAACTAGCAATTGCTGGAAGGTTTTTAGCTTGGTTTTAAGAAAAAGTTAATTAATAAAATATGCTTCCATAAAAGAAAAAAAATATAAGAACCTGTTAAAAGAAACTCAGATAGCTATAAAAAAATTTTATGTTCTTAAAAAACTTGGATTAACTTTTAAAACTCCGATTAAATTTGAAATGGTTAGAATCTTTTCAAATTAAAATCTTAAATAATTCAAAAAGTATGGTTTTTGTAATAACTGTAATAGGTTTGATTAATCATTCAAAGAGTACATTACTAGGTGTACAATGGTACAAATAAATTTTTGCTAGTTAATTTTTTTTTTGGTATTTTATTTATAATTTTAAATATTTTACTTTTCATGTGTGGTAACATAAATATTCATGAAATAACGCTCCAACTATGTAGTGAGAATAAGGAATAATTGGAATTAAAAAATGACAAAAATTTTAAAAAAATATTTCTTTTATTTTACATATTTTTGAATATCATAATTTGAAGACAAAACACTTATTTTCATTTTGGTACTTAATTATTAAATTACTTTTCAATTTAGCTCTTAAATAGCGTAATATATTTAAGTCTTGACATTTAGAACAATAAATTTTTTTTCAGACAGTGATGGTAAAGTCTTTAGGTGATTTTGACAAGGAGTTTGAAATTAGCCCGGAACGTTTTCTCTCAAGCTTTAACTTCATGTCAATATCACATTCCGCCTCGCTAGTTTCGTGAGCATCCATGAAACCCGTAGGCGGCTTAAGCTCTAATGTAGATAACTCATTACCCCAATCTTCCCCAACTTGTTCTCGAGATCGTAACTTCGAGGTTCGTTGATAATTTCGTGATAATTGAGCATCGTTAAATAAGCACAATGATTCGACTGAGCGACGCGATTTTTCTTTATTTCGATTAACTAATAAACTTGAACATGCGCCTATAAGTGAATGATTTGGCGATGGTGTGGCAGAATATGATCGCATTCCTGAATCAGAAGTTTTTGGTGATGGTCGTACTATGTTTTGAACTCGAGATCCAATTATAGAATTATCGCCCGTAAAATTGTGATTTCTGAAAAAGAAAAAATATTGGCAATTCGTTCAAGCAATGTTTAAAAATGATTTGAAGAATCACTTCGACATGCTTAAAATTTATTTATTAAAATGAAAGTCATAAGGTGGTCGAAGTTTGCGATTAAACTTGGGCTGTTTTGTTTCTTCATTTTTTACTTTCATATTTAATTAATATTAACTTTATACCTTTAAAAAAATACCATCAATGATACTTCTTACTATAATTTCTTATTTGAAAAAAATTTAACATCGTAACTTAAATAATGTTTTAAGTATTCGATTTAAAGTATTTTAATGCAAATTATTGATAATTGCTTCAAGGTAAACTCCTAGCTATTATAAACTTCTACTACTGATTTTAATTTCTCGCAAATGTTTATACTACACATAAGAGTTTTGCAAATTAACAATGTACTTAGTTTTTTTTTTTTTTACAACTTTCAATAAAAGAAAATCTAACGAAACTCTTTTATTTTTCTTCTAAATACATTTATTTAGTTGATGAGCTTCAATTAAACTTTAGGATGTTTATTGTATAAACTAAATAAAAAATTTAACTTTAGCTTGATTAAATAAAGAAAAGTTCAATTTTATGATCTTTAATTAAATTTTTAAAATGCATTTTAAAATATAACTAATTATAAAATAAAAGTGAAACATTTTCTTACCGGTTTTTTTCTAATCTAGGGAACGTTTTTCTCTCAGAAATTGGTGACGGCTCGGTTGATGTACTTGATTCGTGCGTGTGGTATAGTACATCTGCGATAATTTCATTTAGAAATATCACAATAATTAGACACAAATAATTAAATTTAATTATTAACACAAAATCGAATACTAACTTACTATGATGAACCGGTCTTGGAAATATGGCTAATCGTTGTTCCCGGCCTCGTTGTGGTCCTGAATTTGGTCCGGGCGAACGTGCTAAAATTGATGTTGGTGCTGAATCATCCAAATGATTTGATGACTCAGTTCGACTGCTCGTTCCAACTTCTGTATCACTGTCAGAGCCTAAAGTATCATATTCTTCAGACTCAGACTTGAACGATTTTGATTTACGCCTTGATCGACTTCGAACTTTCGTATATTGATCAACATCACACTAAAATATTTCAAGAAAATAATTTAATAAAAATGTCAAATAAACATCCATAAATAATATATTTACTTTCTTACCTGAGAACTTTGAAGCATTGTTTCATTTCGTTCGTAGAAATATGCTTGTCTTATAGGATTGGCAGATAGATTCTCCTGTTCCGGTAAATGGAATGTGGCATATGGATAAATGTCTTCTGAGTATTCAGGTATACGTTCCAACGCGTTCACCTCACGACAAGGCGATTGTTGACTAGGTTTACGAACAGTTGCATAAAACTGTTCCCGTTGTTCCATGTTATGTTTATTATCTAATGCAACTTGTGTTTGAGAATTTCGATCATTGTTTCCTCTACTTCTTATGGAATCTGAAATTCACAAAGTGTTTATTCACGGATTCTCATTAAAACTAGTATAAGTACTACAATGTTAATGGGAATGAGAAGTAATGCATTACGATTCCTGAGACAAAAGCAGACTCCACCAACGACCAAAACTACTGCAATAACAGAAATAAGACTAGGAGCAAGAACTTGAGCATCAAGATACAGAGGAGTGACCTCAATTCCCGACGGAGGACTTTCATGAATCCTTGTTATATCACTCGAACTCATAGTGCTGAACAAGTATTCCACTTGAGTTGATCCAGCATTATTATATGCAGTTACTCGTAACTCATAGCTAGACCCACTCTCTAAGTTCACTATTGGAAATCTCGATTGAGGTGGTACGTTGTTAGATACTGAAACAATCAAATAATTTCATTCATTATATCAATACATTTTCATGTACCAGTGCATCAAAACGTTTTCTGGTTTTCGTAAAGTCATTCTGATATTCATCTTTCAACTATCTGAATAATTGAGAGTAAGTTGAGAGATAAATGAGTAACTGAAAGCTAGTTACCCTAAATAAATAAAGAAACTTGAGTAAAATTTGATCTTCCAAAACATGTTTACTTTCTATCGTCTTGGTAATTGGAAAGATATTGGTTTTAGCAAAGAACTGATTCTTTTCTACTTGAATAAATCTTAAGCTTTTGCGTCTTAAACTATCGACAAATCTAAAGTTAAAATCTAACTTTGTTTAAATTACAGAAAATTTAATGGAAAATAAACAAAATTAAAATTGTATTTTTATTTTATAAATTTCGAAATTTTTTTATTGAAGAATTGGCAAGAAAATCATAAATTTAATAATAAAACATCTGAGTATATTAGTACAATATGTGTCATGTTCTAAAATACGAGTTGTTGACTTTAGAAACCTCTGAGTATAATCAATATTGCACATGTCTTCTCTAGATATAAGAAATACCGATATTATATCAGACATTGGAAAGTTTTAATAGTATCAAGAACCAAAAAGTAAATACATTAACTTTTGTAACTCTATTGATAATCGTTATCGTCATTTATATCTAACTACAAATTAAATCGAGCTAGCTATATCTATAATTTATCTTTTTTTTTAGTTAAATCTTTCTGTTTCAAATCATTATCGTTCCAACCTTTTATAGTTTTTAAATAACTTTGATAATTTTTACTTTAGAATATAATACGAAAACAATTAAATAAAAACTATTCTTATTCTAAACAAAGAGAAATTTCATTATGTTGAATTAATTATTTTTAATATTCGTTTGTTCCCCATAAAGCAATTCTAGAGTATAAACTAGAAGTCGTTAACAACAGTGCTCATGCTAAATCAAAATTTAGTTGCTGTACTTCTGTTACTTAATTAATTGTTGAATTAATTATGAACCAACTTAAAAGTTTATAAACTATTTTTTTATTCTAAAAAACAAAAACAATAATTTAACAAGTATTTGTCACAAAAGTCTACAATTGTTTTTTTTTACTTTTTAAGAAGGTTTATAAATAATTCTAGCTTTTAAAAATAAAATGTTTATGAAGAACTAGGTGACAACATTTATTCAAACTCTCAAGTAATTAGGACTATAATCTCATAAAAATTTCTTATAACATAATAGAATTAAATAATATTTAGATCTCATTTTTTGAAGTCACTACGATACACTTAATTTAAAAAAGTTGATAATTTAGAAAACATTACCAAGAAGCCAGTCACCAGGCAGTCTTTTGTATTCAATCACAAAATAAAGTAAAGGACAACCACCGTCCTGCCAAGTAGCTAATTCCAACATAACAGAAGTCATATTAGTACGAATGAGATGTTTTTTAGGGGGTGCTATTGGTGGAGATCCTTTTGTTTTTGCAGTTTCCATTTTGCTGGCACTTCCACTACCGATACGATTGAATGCTGCTAAAGTAAATTGGTATTTAGTTCCACACTGTAGTCCCCCTAGTAAATGAGTACTAGCTCGTCTATCGAGCATAACTTCTTCCCATTCTGCAAATTCTTTTCGATAAGCCAATACAAATCCTTTAATCGGGGCACCCCCATTATCTCCTTGTTTCCACTGTAGTTGTACAGCATCCGTTGTAGTGCCAGTAGCAAGAAGCGTCGGTGGTGTAGGCGGAACTATGCATAAAGTTTGTCAATTAAAACTTAGTAGTAAACCAACAAAACACTTTGCAGTATTACCCAACCTACAGTAAAATATAATTTCCGATAAATCATGATCTTTGAATTAATGTGTTAACTAATGTCTTTGTTTTTTTAAATAAACGATAGTACTTGTTCAAATTCTATACAAGATTTTTTATTTTTGTTATCAACTTTTTCTTGATGCATTATATTTTTTTCTGTATATAAAATTAGTTTTTTTATTAATTTAAGACCTTCTGTACAACTCTGTATTTTTATTTCTTTTGGTTTATGTTATAACCCTGTTATTGGCTCGACTGTTGAGTGTATATTTGATAAAAAAAATACAATAGATATCTGTATATTTTTCGATATTCATGTAAATATTATGAAATAGCATTGTTTACGATTTACTATAACTAATTTACTCAAATAACATCAATTATAATTACTTAACTTACTAATGGCAAGTAAACTTAGAAAAAATTACCTTGAACTTGAAGACTGTAAACTATTTCATCAAATCCTAAAGAATTTTTAACATGGCACGAATAGTTTCCTTCTTGGCTTCTTTGAATATTTCGCAGAATTAAAGTATGATCTTGTCCAATATCCAATCTTTACAGAAAAACAGAATTAAATTTATTACATTTAAATAAAAAATTTTTCATAATAATTTTTTTTTGAAAATGAATCTTGAATTAAACCTCTGATTTTTTTGTAATTTAACATCACCCAGTCTCCATTCTACTGATGGTGGAGGGATTCCAACTGACAGGCAAGGAAATTTAACATCTACTCGCCAAGATGTTACGACTAGTATTCCAAATGAAACAATAGCAGCTGGAACTGATTAACGACACAAATAAATTCATTATTATGATTATTGAATTTTACTTAGAAAAAATTGGTTTAAGTTAAATACTGTATTGTTTTCGGATTAATGATCTACAATAGAATACATTTTTGATAATAAAAGATAAAAACAGTATTAAAATGGAAAATTTTTTCACAAACAATGAATAATCGGATCATTTTATTATAAAAGAGAACAATTCATTTATATCTTCGTCTATGTAGATATATATATTCTGTTGAATTTAAAAAGTATTAAGAATTTTGTAACTGTATAAATTTTATAGAATAACATTATGAGTGTAGAGAAATATTGTTAAATGTGAAATTTACACTAATGATGTCCATGAAAATTTTCACACTTGAAATCGTGACATCCAGCACAGAAAAGTAAAATTTATCCTAAAAAATACTATAATTTGTTCTTTTACTCCATAATAATTCCACTTTGTAAGATAACTTTTATTCGATTTTTTTATTGGTGTAATAAATACATCATCTTAAGCAAAACAGTTTTGAGTATGTCTGCTACCATTAGGATTTATCAGAGCTGAATGAAGTACATATACATATTGTTGGTCAAGTTATCAATTAAATATTGTTATTAAGATACTTTTAGAATATTTATCTCATTTTTTGTTAACATGGATTACAATTATTAATTTTCTTTTCTGTCCTTCTATGTCGATTTTTACATCTTTATATTAATATTATGTTCACATTACTTAAATATAGTAGGCTTATACTTATCTTTATAAAAACACGATTCTTTTACTTTTTTGATTCAATCATGATAAATTTTTACTATTACTAACTTTTGTTATGAATGAAAATATAGATTTATTATCAATATTTTTTCAGAGTTTTTTTATTAAAATTATAAGATTAATTTTATCGAACAGGAATACTTTGTAAAATTAATTTTATCAACTGCTTTTAAAATTATTGATTATATTTGGAATGAATGATTTAATGATACCTTTTCTTCATTAAAATTGAATCTATACAGTTTATGATCCAAATTATTCAAGAAGATATCATGTTTATATTTAATTATGAAAGATAAATAGAGTAAAGAAACTTTAGTTATCATGAAAAAGTTTCGTGTACCCGAATAACAACGGGAAATTACATTCTCGTAAGTTTAAAGATTTCTCTTTATTGTATCAACTTTGTCGAGAGAACTAATTATTTCTCTCAATCCTGCTTAACTCTTACTTCCTGTACTTTAACTATTAATACTCAAATACTTTTTAAGTTTTTAAACTTTGAATAATTGTATTGTTTAACAATAAAACAAATAATTTACGCTTTATTACATATTTATTTATTATAACTTATTAACAAATTCCATCTTATTTGTGAAACAAAACAAACTTTCTCATTAAAATACTTCTTTGACATTTGAAATAATTTTAATCGCAATTTAAATGTAAAATAAATTAGATGAAGTTATTACTCACCAGTGGAACTTGGCTGGAGTTTGATGACTGTAGTACTCGGTCCTTCTCCTACTTTTGTTGAGGCAGTGACCCAAGCTTCATAAGATTCTCGAAGTTTCAACCCTGTCGCTTCATAGTGCAAACTTTGTGGAGGTAAAAAATCTTTAATGATCTTCACTTCTTGGCCTTGGTCCAAAGCTCGAATGTACACAGTATATTTTGTCAAAATGCCATTTGGTCGTTTTGGTGGCAGCCAAGATATTATAACAATATTTTCCGCACTTGGAATTGCCTTCACACGTTCAGGTACATCAGGAACTAAATGAAAGAAGGGACAATTTAAAAAAGACAAAATTGTGATACAATGAAATAATAAACAAAAAGTTTATAATCAAGATGTAAAAACGATTATTAGTATTTTGCTTACAATAAAAATTTTAATGATTGTTTTAAACGTTTTAAAGTTTTTATATTAAACAATTTTACAGTGTTTTTTACAGTGTGTTCAATGTAAGAAAAATAATTCTTTCTACAACTGCATAATTTTTTTTAATCCCTTAAAAATTAACAGAAGCTTCTATTAGTTTAACAGCATTATACAACAAATTTTTATATAATAAAATTTATGGTAAATGCATGAAATTCTTAAGATTGAATATATTGTTGTTGTCTGATTTAAGATTGACAATTGGTAGAGTGATTATACTTTAATGTGGCATGATGGAAGAGAGTGAAACATATGCTGTCAGGTCTTGCTGTTAGGGTGAGCTATTAGTGATTTTACTGAAAATAAAGGATATATTTTCATTCTACAGAGAACTCTGATCAACCTGGATCTTTGAGGAATGTATAATTCACTTTGCCAGCGTACATAATTAAGCATTTCACTTTTTTCCCCGCAGTTACATGTTGGGTCTTCAATGTAACCTAAGTCAACTAATGAATTTGTGAGATGGTAGTGATTAGCTCTACTGAGGGACAACTACACGAGTAAAATCTTATATTTTCTTTTATATTTCTGTACAATGAACAAAAGCTTTACTTCAAAATAGTTTACTTTTTAATATTGTAAATAATTCACGAGTCAATAATAATTAAAGAGTAATTAATGTTTCTAAAGATTGAATTTTTAATAGAAATAAATATATTAGCACGAATATTTCATTTTTAATGCATTTAAAAAATTTATCTTTCCATGTCATTAAGTCACGTAAAAAATGTTGTAATTTTGTTAGTGACTAAGGGTTGATCAGGCAATTTACAGTGAATTTAATAAATACGACATAAATAACCTAGGAAGTATTTAAGCAGGTGAAAACATACAAATGTAAAACATTAATCATAAATTATAATTAATTTTAATACTGTTAAATAATAAATAGTTGTTATTGTGTTCGTACTTTTAACGGAATGATTTATGTACATTTTTAGCAGTCTTAAATAATTGAATGGCATTAGAAACAAACCATAAAGCATTACCACTTCTTGTTGTTTTCAACTAGGATTTCTGAATCAAGCTGAATCCCATCAGTTTGAATTGGTTTTAAGAGAGACATGTATGTACGGTAAATTTCTCATGTATGGATAATTTTGATAATTAGACTATTTAGTCATTATTATCAACAATGCAATAATAACAATTTTGTTAACACGAGCGATAAACAAAGGTTAAAAAATTTCTGTAAGAATAATATTGATCATATAAATAATATGAATAAAATTAACATGTTTCTGAATATGGAAGTTTTTGAAAAATGTGGCATTTTACTTTGTCTAATTTCTAGTGAAGTACGAGACGTTCTTTGAAAAAGCAATTACTCACCGAAATTCTCGGAGTGAACGAGGATCGAGATCTAAAAGAGGAGTGTTTAGAATTTGCAGTCAAAGTGGATTCCTCTATAGAGCCTATGATAAGGTACGCAAAGAAACTTGAAAAAAACTCACTCAAGAATAAGACAAAGGAGGAGAACAACTCACATAAACACAAGGAGTTTCGAATAAGATAAAGATAAAGTACCTATATACAACAGATAAATGGAAAACATTCTAAAGCTTCAAGAACTGGATGAAACGAATTGTAGATATATTCGAATGTTTTTGAATTTCTTCAACACTCTAATTAATAATTTTTTTGTAAATCTTGCAGAGAAGTAAAAAACAATTGGTGGAATGAAAAATAAAGTGGAATGCAGGGAAAAATGTATCAATTCATCGCTATTTGATCATTTATTGATTAATTTATTAATACAAATGCGTTTTTTCTTCGCGTTCCACTTTACTTGTACCCTTCCTTCTCCTATAAATATTTCTTTAATAAAAAATGTCGTTATAGAACAATGAAAACTTGTTGATTAAAAACAATTTCAGTTATCTCACAAGTTGATAAATAGAGCTTAAACAGTAGTTGAAAAAAAAAGATGCTGCTAACTTTTTCAAAAAGTGATCAAAAAATTTTTATTTATATATGTATAATAATTGTACCTACACAAATAAATGAATAAAATATTGTTTATATGAAAATCTGTATGTATAATTATTTATTTAAGTTCGACTTACAGATACAAGCATTTAATACTTGTTTAGAATTGGGGCTCCAGCCTATTTGTCTTAAGAATATTCGAATAACTATCAATTTCCTACAGTACAAAAAGTATGACAGAGTAAAAGGAGCCACGTTAAGATAAATGCAGGTACAATTGATGGGGAAATTCAAAAATTGTCCTGTGCATATCGTGGAGTCATCTATCTAGTTATTAGATCTGGAGTCCCAATTCTAAGTATTAATTCAAAATTTTATTAAATGAACTGATAAATTGATTATAAACTTTTTGGTTGATTTAAGTTGAAATAATTCTTGAATACTTTACCTGTTTCTTCGGTCATGCATGAAATGGGAGCACTACTGACACCCTCTCCAGCTCTAGTGTAAGCTAAAACTTGAACTGTGTAATTTGTAAAAGGTCGCAGATCGTGTAAAACAGTGCTAAGTGCTTGGGTAGTTTTTGTATCTCTAGATGATTGCACTTCTAAAAGTTCTTCATTAGAGGGTTCGTAAAGGAGTTTGTAACCTATGATGATACCATGTATTTTATTTGCTGGTGGAGCTTTCCAAGTTACTTGAATATTTTGACCACTTAAAGCAGTACAAGCGATGTTTTGTGGTGGCGCACTGGGAACTATGTCAAATATTATACTTTCCATAGAACTTAATACAAATATCTGATGAGATACTTTATCAATTCATATTTCATTTATTATTAAAAAAGACAGACAAATAAATGTCTATTTTGACTATTTGAAGTATTATTCAATTGTGAATAATACAAACATAAATCTTCTTTTATAAAAATATTTTATTTAATATATTTTAACAAATCTAAATTAGTCAGAATAGCTAAATATACACTGAAAAAAAATTTTTATATCAAGTGAATATGTAATTGTTATAGGATCAAGTGAATAATCGCTTATGCTAAGCAAATGATGAATTGAAATAAATATTTAATAATTTATCGAATGAATTATTTATTTAGCACTATAGATAAAATTTACTAGATAATATTTACTTGATGCTACAATTTTTTTTTTCAGTGTGTTTTTAAAATAAAATATTGTTAACTTGAACAATATTGTTTCCAAAAGTCCTTTTGATGTACAAAAAATAATACTGATAACAGATGAAATTATTGAAATAAAAAACTGTTATTATTATCGTTTAAATAAATTATTTTGTTTATTATTGTTATAGTTTTTGCATGAGCACGACTGAAATTTAATTTTTCATTAGAAGCATATTCATGGGAAAATCATATATAAAATGAGACTACGGATAAACATTTGCAGTTTTTGGTAGTTTAAAGTCTTTTGAAGAAGTCTACTTAGATTATTTTAAGTTATGTGCCGACTTACTTTCAATTATTAACTTTTCATTTAGGAAGTAGCAATGGTTTTGATTTTTCGTATAAAAATTTTTAATTGATATGTCATTATGATTTAAGGTCCCTAAAGATTTCATTTGCTTTTTAGCAATACTTCACTTAATCATTTGATCAAGATAGTTGTAACAACTATCCAGAAAATAATAATAATACCTGTATAAGAGAATTTCGTTCCCCAAAGATTTCACGACAAAAATCATCTACTCTTCGACTTTGGGTCTCCATATCTCGTGAAAAAATTATCGGATAACGATTTTTAAGAGCTATTTAGAAACTCTAGAATCTAAGCTAAAGATACATATCCATAAAAAATGTTAAGAACATTGATTTCACCCTCAAAATTGCCAAAATAGTTGGCCACCTCCCCAAAAAATGTAATTTTTTTTTATATTTTAGCGATTTTAAGGGCGAAAGAAATTTTTCTTGATAAATCTATGGATATTGTCAGATATCTCAGATTTTCAGGTTTTTAAAACATCCCTAAAAATGGTTATCGGACCATCGGTTTATGAGTTATAAGGGTTCAAAGCCAAGGGGATCATGATTTTTAGTGTGTATCCAGTTTCACCCCTGTTTGAGGGTCTTAAAGTGAATTTTTTCGGGGCGGTGCTCCGATTTCGCATTTCTACGCATCGAGAGGAAGAGAATGAGTGGTCAAACTCGAAAATCGGAGAACTTTTATTTTTTGGCCAAAAAAAATGGAAAGGGGTACCACTTGCCATTTTTTGGGGTTGAAAAATCAAAGTTGTCCGATTTTCAAGTTTGACCACTCATTCTCTTCGTCTCAATGCGTAGATATGCGGAATCGGGTTAAACAAATGAAAAATTAATTATTTCACTCCTGTAATGGGGTAAAACGGGAACTTGCTTTAATTTTTGCATGAATTTTGCGACAATTATGATTTGAACTATATCGACTCTTTTCCTCTCATCGAGATCCTTCATTTAAGCCCTCGATCAACCCTGTAGCATTATTAACATCAAAGTTATACCCATTTTCATGTCTTACTGTTTTTCGCTAATATTTCATTATTTCATTATATGCATATTGTTTTAGCAAGTAGAAAACATTGTGTAGCGTGAAGCGTAGAGAGGAAAAATTAAAAAAAAATTTTGTTCCTCATAGTCCCACGAGGGGAACGTCGGGATATCTTTGGGGAACGAAATTCTTCTATACGAGTAGCTGTGTGGATAATTAGAGTAGACATAAGAATTACTGTGACAGCAGATGAACAAATAATGATATTGATTCTGAACCAATCAATGAAATGTTAGAAACATGAAATTTTTAATAAAGTGGCCTCTAGTTTTCGAGGCAAAGGACATCAAATGGAAAGTTGGTAGTTTAGTCAGACCAGTCTTACCCAGCCTCCAAGAAATTACTTCACCTTTCCAATCTTCTATGATGTTAATTTTTCTTTTCAGTTTCTTCGAATATTGACGTCAATTTTTTCATTTGTTCATGCTCCTTCTGTGATTTGCCTTTCATGATTTGCTCTAGACCTTATTTCCATTTCTCGACGACTTCTTTAACTTTTTCTAAATATCAACTTATAGCAGCCATGTCCATTAATTGATTTTAATTATTATAATATTTCTAACGATTTTGATTTTTCTGCTAAACTTAATTGTTAAATGTAGGGTCTATATCCATTATCCAGTTTTTATACTGCTAATTCAAGAAGTTAATTACAAATGATCTGACCAAACTTCCAGCTTTTCATTTGACACTCACACATACAAACATCTTTTTAGAAATAATCAATTCCGACTCTGGGAACTTCAAAACATGGAAACATGTTAAAATTTTTAACCCGAAAAATCAGATCCATTACATCAAATAAATATTTTAAAAAGTTTCATTTGATTCTTTCTAAATGCATATAAGTCAATTTTAATTATGTTAATTAGCCAATGATTGCACAGAATGTTGAAGAGATTTTCAGATTCTTCTTAACGCGATGAAAAAATTTCTTTGATATTTCTGTATAATTACTTGAGTCAATTAAAAAAAATCCTTACATACAGTCATGGCCGTAAGATCTTATTTATATTACTTTAATTAATACTTGAAGTTCGTTTTTAATTCATATTTTTGCAATTTATATATCTTCACTGAAAGATTATTAATAAAGATATAACTGAACTACTGATTCTATTTAGAAATGTGAATTTTGTTAAGAATTCTTAGAGATATCAAATTTTCACTTATTTATCATAATAAATTATATTATTGAAACTTCTATAACTTTTAAAATAACTGTCTAAGGATGAGAAATTAGATTAAATAATGATCAGAAATAATAAATAATCTATAAAAAAGTTGACTTACCAGACTCAAGGGTTTGTGTTATTATAGGATCAGAGCCTGGACCATCTCCTTTACTATTGAAAGCTTTTACCACTATACTATATTCAGTAAATTTCCTTAGACCAGTTAATCGGTACTCATAAGCTCCGTCCCCATTTCCAGTAATACCAACCCGAGTAACATTGGCGGTTTGTTCATCATCTCTGTGACACAAATATCTTATCGAATATCATGTTGAATATAAACAAGTTAATGAAATGGAGGATGCTACCTTAGTATAGTGGAAGTGATAGTATAGCCCAGAAGTTCGCCATTCCACAACGATCGATCAGGTGGTTGCCAGGTAATCTTAAGCTGCTGTGGCCCCATTGGTTCTGCCATAACCTGCCTTGGTGGTCCTCCAGGGATCTCGCCATCGGTCTGCACCTGTATTTCCATTTTATTGATCATACAGATGACAAATAATGTGTGCTCCATGCATCGATGATCCACGAATGATTTGATCGATACTGACATGAAGAATATCACTGGGGGCTGATGTTCCGAGATGATTTTCCGCAAAGACTCGAAAGTGGTAGGTTGTAGCAGGTTTTAGTTGGGAAACCAGCGCGACCGTGTTGTCTCCTGCGACCAGCTGCGTGTTGTGGTCATGCCACACATCTTCCAGTACATACAAGAGACGCTTATAACGTACTATTCGGACGGATAAACGTTTTTGTGAATCAATTAGAAGTTATTAAGGTTCAATTATCAATTTATTTAAGTATTTATCAATTTATTACTAACTGGCTAAAACAGATATAGAAATTCATTCTATTAATCGATATAACTAAATGTAAATTATAGCTATCCATGATAATGAGTAAACAGTTAATTGAAATGAAAAACAATATTAAATCTTATTTGTCAGTATGTTATAAATTAAATTACCATACTATGTAACGATCATCAAAGATTGATTCCACAAAATGCTTTTAATCTTCAAATAGAATTGTGATTAAAATAAAACATTGTGAATGATTTGTGAAAATCCATTGTGTATTACAGTTTGCAAAATTACAAAGTCATTTATTTTTAATAATAAAGTTTATCATCAAATTAAGAAGAAATTGTTTTTCAAAAAACAGTCGATAATAGTTCAAGAGCTATTGAATGGATTCAGAATTGATTTTATTATCATTTAATTATTGATATCGATAACTGACCTTTCAACCTCTTTCAATTTATCCTTAGATACCTCCAACTAATACGATTGATTTTTATTGGTAAAGATGAAACAGTATAAAATGAGTACTACTAATGTTAGAATGTATTCAAAGTTGATGTTGTACATTAAGTATAAAATATAAAAACACTATGTTATTGTATATTTTTAAAATTAAATTAAGTTAAACATACTTCAATAAATATTATTCTTAACAAGGTAATTGTCTAGAAAATAATTCGAATCCTGGAAAGAGCAAATGAGAGTGGAGGGAAACCACCTGAACATAATTCTGGTGAGAACAAATTGCGGTCACTATTCACTGCTTAGTGATTTGAGGTCAAAAATTGCGAATAAAGGTTTATTTAGAAAGCTATAAAACATAAATTTTTAATTTTATTCACTCTTAAGAGTTAAACTTGGACTATAAATGACCTTTTATGTACATTGAGAAAAAAATTACTGCTCATTTTATAAATAAAACAAGAAAAATCATTGCAAAACAATGCATGTTCACTAACTTACAGTTATAAAAATGGCACTGTTCAATTACTGTTAATATTATAATGTCATTTAGTAATTGTAATCTAGTATTTAATTAATTCAAAGAGTAATTTATCAATTTAATAATAATTCATTTTTTGTGAATCAAAACCAAGACAAGTATCTCTTGAAGTGATTTATAATTTTATTCAATCAAGAAGATGCTTATTAGATGATAAATCAAATTTATTTCAACTATTCAGGAACATCTTTTATTGATTGAAATAAATTGGTTTTTTGATTGATACAAATTGAACATTTAACCATTTTTTACTGTCGTGTAGAGTAAGTCAAGCTTGACCACCACCACCCACTCCCTCTGAAAGCAGGACTATTTTCTAGATAATTACCGAAAATAAACTTTCAATACATTCATTCTATTTATTTAATTTCATTATTGAATGTCGTATTGCTGAAAGCATCCAAGTGATAAAAATATTTAAAATGTTATGGCGCATGTAATGATAATAAAAGAAGCAACATTTGTAGTGTTTTTCTTGTAAATTTCATGAGGATACATACCGTCTGCTTCTTTATACTGAACAATGTAGTTGGTGATTGGTGAGTCTGGATTCAGTGAATCTGAGTCGCTGGAAGGTGATGACCAAGACAAGAGAATGGAACGACTTTTCTGCTCAGCGACGTGTAAATTTCGTGGAAAATTTGGTGGTTCTTGTACCAATAGATGAATGGCTGCTTTATCAACGCCATAAGCATTGCTTGCCACACACACATACTCCCCGCGGTCTTCATGACCAGCTTTGCTTATTCGTAATACCGACGTCATGCCTCGTGGTGTTGAATTATTTTCTAATGTATACCTACATCAAATACATACAGTTGAATCAGTCTTATGTTAATAATAGGACTTTGAATCAATTATATAAAAGATCAAATAGACTTAATCTTTTACCATTTAATTCAATATATTATTTTATACCCCATATATTACGTACTCATTTCATTTTCATTAATATTTTCAATAAAACACTGTCTGACCCGTTTTAATATTACTCTACACTTCGCCAAACCACTATTATATCTCTACCACTACTATTGCACGTTTGAGAATACTTTCAGAGCAAATTTGCATACTCACACATTTCCACAATGGTTTAATACACAAATTTAAGGTAAATCTGATGTTGATAGCCGTGGGGAAAGGTAGAACGTATTCATTTTTTGATAATAAATAAACAACGTCGTTTCTTATCAACATAATTTACACAAATTTCATCATATATAGCAGTATAAACTCACAATGCACTTAATGGAATTGAGGTAGAATTTGCAGGGATGAATACTTATTAGCTGTTTCTTTTGTGTGTAATATTTGCTACTTTATCTTTCATTTTAATAAATTTACATAAAATAACTTGAACAAAGACTCGGATAGTACAATATAACATCAAGTTATACTTTTAATGTTTAGCTGTATTTATTGTGAGTTGTTTATTATTTAAATTATAATTTTGTAGGAATTTATAAATTTTTATTGGAATAAAATTGCGAATTTTACCATGTGAATTTCAATATCAGCTTATGGCTCTATGATAAAACTCAGAAGAAAACTAGGCAGAATTATTTTTTGTATTATTAGTGAAAAAATAATAATTTGAACTACTCTAAAGGAGAATTATCGAAATATGTGTATTTAAAATACAATGATGCAATTTTTTTTTAATTCCCGTACAAGATGACTTATTAGATACCCGTATTAGATGACTTGTATGTGAGTTATAGAGGTCCAAAGTCGAAGTAAGGGTCAAAAATCATCTACTCTTCGACTTTGGGTCTTCATATCTCGTGAAAAAATTATCGGATTGAGTTTTTTAAGGGCTATTTAAAAAATCTAGAATCTAAGCTAAAGATATATATCCATAAAAAATGTTTAGAACATTTATTTCACCCGCAAAATTGCTAAAATAGATGGCAAACTCCCCAAAAATGTATTTTTTTAAATATTTTAGCGATTTTAAGGGGGAAAGAAATTTTTCGTGATAAATCAATGGATACTGTCAGATAGCTCAAATTTTATGGTTTCGAAAACGTCCCAAAAAACAGTTATTAGTCCGTTTGTTCATGAGTTATAAGGGTTTAAAGTCAAGGGGATGATGATTCGAAACTTGTATCCAGTTTCACCCCTGTTTGAGGGTGTTAAAGTGAATTTTTCCGGGGGGTGCCCCGATTCCGCATTTCTACGCATCAAGACAAAGAGAGTGAGTGGTCGAACTCGAAAATCGGAGTACTTTTATTTTTTGGCCAAAAAAAATGGAAAGGGGTACCACTTGCCATTTTTTAGGGTTGAAAAATCAAAGTTGTCCGATTTTCGATTTTGACCACTCATTCTCTTCGTCTCAATGCGTAGAAACACGAAATCGGGTCAAACATATGAAAAATTAATTATTTCACTCCTAAAATGGGGTAAAACGGGAACTTGCTTTAATTTTAGCACAAATTATGCTCCAATTCTGATTTTAACTAGTGCAATAAAATGATCCGAGAGTAAAAATTGAAAAAAAAAAAAATTTCTTAATTTAATATTCAACTGTTTCCTGGGAACAACATTTACATCGTGCATTGATAGTCTTTTCCTAGTTCATCCTCGGTGTAAATTGAAAAAAGCGGAATATTTCTGACATTTCTACACTTCATGAAACGTTCATTTTTTTCTCTTAATACTGAACACAGTATTTAGACTTTTTTTTACTCCAATAAATGTAATCGTACATATTATATTCGACATTGTATTTTATTAGCTCATCGTAGAGATTATAGTTAATTTTTTTTTAATTTTGAGCACGGAGGGGAAGAGCTGAGTGGTAGGTGGAAAACGTGTGTTGACATCTCCTTAAATTCAAAGTCATTCTAATGTTCTTATTTTTCAATGCATGTAAAAAATTCCAGGAAATTATTTGATATCTTCATACAAATGATCATCGATCACCATGTGATGGAATTTTTAGATTTACAAATTTTGTACTTGATTCTTCTTCGCTTATCAGCATTAAATTGTTTCTTTATTTTCGGCATCTGGTGAAGGGACAAACTGAAAGAAATGCAAGAAGCATAACAACCACCGTCTTCTTTACCCAGAAACAATTAAAATAGACAATTTTATTTCTACTTTCATCATATAGGTATGTACTTCAATGCGGTCACTTTTTTTATAGGTTCAACTTATTAAGTTTGAAATAGTTTTCAGATGATGTTGATCACTCTACAATTTTATTTAAATAAATAAAATCTCCCCTTTCTTGCAAAAATTTACTTGTCATCGACCTCTGATTGGTCGATTATATTATAGAATTACCTTATTCAAGCTTCAAGTTCAATCTCATTTCTAATTTCTATATGTAAGTAATCGTGAATCATGTTGTATATATATATATAGACAAAAGGGCGTACTTGATGGATGCTTCATTTTACCTGACAGCTTCATGTCTTCCATTCCTCAACTAAATTAAATGGATACGAACCTCAAATCATAAATTGGTTCTATCCTGCCAGCACGATTTCTCCAGCTAATATCCAAAGGAGCATCACCATCAGCTTCGCATCGTAATACTGCAGTTTCCCCTCTTCTTACTGATTCTTGGGGATTTTTCACTTCTACGTGTGGTCCAGCTGAAAAAAAGAATAATAAGAAATGATTACGGTCTCTTCTAAGATTGAGAAAATAATATTATCGTAAAAAGTTTTTTCGACATTCATGATTCAAGTAGAATATAAAGGCATACGATGCTATTGTATCATGTATAGTTTTCTTCATAAATATACCTAAACGTGCTAGTTGTAAGTTTATGAATATTTTACCATGAACTGTTAGACGAATGAGTTTGCTAAGACCAGGACCAATTCCGTTGCTTCCTTGGCACAAGTAAAATCCACCATGTTCTTTAGATACACGAGGAATCACCAATGAGCCATTTCTTGAAATTTCTATACCTTCAGTTCCTCCGTATCCGAGTTCTCGATAGTCACCAGGAGTTTCACCTAAGATAAAAGTTCTTTTGAAATATATTTTGTTATTTCAAAGACAAAGTTTTTTTTTATCCAAAACAGTAGTTAAACAGCTTTTATACAATTAATAAATTGTATATCGGATATAATGCAACTTTTACAGCTAGGTAAGACCGCTTGAACTTCGATTTTTCAGTAAATTTTACCAAGTAATTCATGGTAAACTTTACTCACATGTGTCTATTTAAATTTTCATGCGTTTAAAGGATATTTTACCGTCACTTTGGGTTAAATTTTCTGCTATAAATTTTTTTAAAGTCATTTATGTATGTATGTATGTATGTATGAATGTATGTATGTATGTATATGTGTGCAGATATTCATTTTAATTTTACAACTATCTAATAAAAGTAAGAATTACTATATTAATAAAAAAAAACATTTACTGGCATTTTAATTATTATAATGATTCAAAGATTTACATAAATCATGGCAATGTATAAAAATCAGTACAAAGATTAATCAATATCTAGCCCATTAAAATGCATTATTATCATTAAATATTTTATGGAATAAATCATAGTTATGTATTTTAAAAGTAGTATCTAAAGATATTACAGTAATTTGACGTCATTTTTTGGACAAAAAAAAGTTCAAAAACTGAATGAATCTAATTTTCTTTTTATGTCTTGTGCAACTTATTCCGAGCAGCATGAACACAGTGAATGTAACGATCAGCAAAATTTGTGATGAATAGAATCAAGTTTCTGTATGAAGCTGCAACTTAATGAAGACTAAGAAGACTTGAATCGTTGATCTTGCGATTTATTGCTCAGTAGAATATTTTACAATCAAATTGATGAAAATAACATCATTTGAAAACTTTTTATCTTGGAAATTTTATGAATAAAATGATTTTAATATTATGTTCTTTAATAATAAATGAGTGCAAATTACTATGAAATATTATAAATATTAGAAGAGGAAGTAGGATTATGGTTCAAGCACGATGCATCTTTCATCAATTAACCCACAAATATATTAAAAGTCAAATTTTTGGCAATAAAAAGAAACTACGAGAAGTGATAATTGATGATTTGAAAAGTGATTCATAATCCTACCTTCTCCTCTACTTATTTGTAGTTAAAAAAGCAAAGAATGAAAATTTATTATTAGAGATCATAAAACATATGTTCAATTACGATTAAGAGTGGTACAATTTAACGTATTGTTGTGCTAATGACTTAGAGGTGACTTACCAATAGATTGTTTCCATGTTACGTTAGGAATCGGAAATCCTTCAGCTTGGCAAGCCACTGAGACAGGATGACCTACAATAGCATCCTGGTCGATAGGTTCCACTATCCAACGTGGTGGAACTAAAAATACAATTCTATTAAAATTGAAACTCAAAGAAAAAAGTTATTTGAATTTATTATTATAGATTCAAATGAAAAATTGTATCATGTTGGTATTTTATTATCCAATGAATTACTGAGATTTTGAACAAATGATACGTAAACAAATACCCCAAAGATATCATTTCTAATGATACGAAATTGAAAATTTTAAAGCAAAACGCATATACTTTCATCAACAAATCTAATAAATTTTCTCAAGTATTATATAAAAAAAAATAATTCAATATTTTTTAAACATCGTTTTATGAGCATGCAATTTCAAAATATATTTTTTATAATCAAACTACAAAATTACGTAAACAACTTCAACGATTTCATAAAAGATTCTACATTAAAATATTCTACGAGCTGGCAATAATTACTATAATTCATTAAAATGAGAAAAAAATAAATGAAGATTTTTGATAAAAAAGATTTTTGAATTATTAGTCATTGTCAGCTCCAATTGCCAAATCACGAATTAATAAGAATATATATATATATATTCAATTAGTAATATAAATTCAAATATAACCATGCTTAAAACAATTAAATTGTTACTGGCAATACAAATGCACAACGAAGTATCGTAAAATTTACTACGATACGTTATGCCTACCGTAAAATTACGTGTTTTTATCCTAGATATACCATATAGTTTGACCGAAGAATTTCTTTTATTATATATAAAAAGAAGAATAATAATTTAAATATATATCAATATTTTCTTTTATTATTATGTTCAATTTTGATTTAGTAGAAGGCTAAATATTAAAGTGAATCAACGGTGAATCAATTTCAATTATCAAATAAGAAAGATTAAAGCACATTTTTTTCCAACTTATTAAAATCATCAATTATTTAAAAATTAATCTTATAAAAAACATTGATAAATCAGGAAATCAATTGATTTGTAATTTTTCTGATACACCACAGATATTATTTTTGACATTCAAAATTATTTGCTTTAATTCAAGACCACTGCACATGTTGCTAGATTTCGAACTAAATCATTTGATCAAGAACCTGAAGGGAGTCTTGAGTGCTATGCTACCAAACTTCAATGTCACCGATGGCTTTGTTGTTGGCTATGATGCAATATTTTAATGGTAAGACCAGTGTCATTCTTATACGAACGAGACACGAACAAACTTTATGTGAGGATGAATTGATACTACTCCTTATTAACCTTTAAGCAATATGTTATTCACAGCAGCTTGAAAGCAAATCTAGCTAACCAGTTAGCTCGAAATCTAGCAATGTACGGAAGGACCTTCAGTAGAGAGTAATGAAATGAAGCTAATGAAGAGTAGGGATGCCGGTAGATCACGTCTGACTTAAACGTGACACTTTCACTTTCTTGACATTTTGTACCTCACCAGGACGGACCAGAAGATCTAAGCTCTCCATGACTATTAATCATTGTAAGAAATTATTGGCCTTTTGAAGTACACTTATTGAGTCTGAAGTAATTGCCTTGAATCTCTTCATTGATACTTTGCTGGTGGAATCATCAACTTTGGTTTTGCTGACATTTTGAGATGAGGTGTTTGCAGCGATCTTATGCTCAGTTTTACACATACTCGATCTTAAATCGAAGACGATCAGGTATAGGTTGGGTGACGACGTCAATTAGGACAATTCTCTGGGGAATTTGACCCAGTTGGACTCTTCTTAATGACCCCACTTACTGAGTGCCCTAATTGGAGGGGTCATTGCACTATATATATACCTGAACATTAGACATCAGAAGGCATAGAAAATATATAAACAATTCTATCAGTAACTTTGAAAACGTCAGCTATTAAGTCTTGAGTTCTTTCGGCTGGCATCTTATAAAAAAACCACCCAGCAAGTACATAGTATGTAACTTTAATGGACCGATCTAGTAATTGTCATTTATGACTTTGGAGAAGTTGAAATTAGATCATTAGAGTAGGCATAAATATTGCTGTGACAACAATCTACTTTAGCTATACTTTGGACTGCTTCTAAAATAATTTTTTTTCAGAGTAAGTAACTGATAAATTCATTTAATTTACCTGTATCTATCTGGGGCATTACAGTTTTTAGTAATGAATTAATTCCAATATAAAAAAGTTTGAATATTATTATCTTCATAATATTACTAGATATTAACTATTTTATATTATACTTTGCAACTTTTGATTAGTTCTTAATTATCAACAATCAAATGATGAATGGCTTAAAAATTAACTTATTTCTGTTTTTGATTTGAATCATGGGGAAAATTTATATAATTAGAATATCATAATTTTGATTCCCAGTTATAATTCAATCTATGAAGAAAGCCTTTCATATATTTTATTCATGTAAAATCCGCAAAATTGTGAATAGATAAAAAATGAAATTAACAGAGCATATGGCAAAAGCTAGATTTTCAAAGTTAATTACTATCGCGTTGAAAAGAGCGTTCGATTTCATTAAGCACAGTCATCGGAAGTGATCACAAACGACACGAAAACGATGAGATAACGATGGTCCACACAGGTGCATCGGTTTCCACTCATCCCGTAATATGAATTTACGATATTTCATTCTCATACTCGGTGACTGTCGCGTAAACTGATATTAATGTAGCACCCAGCGTTGGACACTCAGAGCCTGGAATATCGTGCTGTGAATTGTGCAGTAGTTAGCATTAACAGTCCATCGATCAATACAGTTGATCATCACATCGGCGGACAATTTCTCAATGAGATATAATCCATGAGAATTTGCACATAAATATTCGTGCATTACTATTACTATGTGTTCTTTACATGTTATTATGTTTGACATTAATATATTTTAATAATTTGTTAAAAATGTTGAACTATTTACTATAGATCGATCCTATCGATTCTAAACTTCACCTAATATTTTCCAATGTACTGAATAACTACGAAAGTCAGCTTATTTACAAAGAATGTATTCGTTTTTTTAAATAATCAAATCAATTAACAATTATAAGTTCTTTTATTAGATATAAAATTAATAGAACCGTTTGAGTGCAAAATATGTACAGATGAGTTCAACTAAATATGATTGCCTTTAATAGAAAAGTAGTTATTTTTTGGAGCAAATGATATTTTTACAACTGCAACTAGGTCAGCTTTGGGCTTTATTTGATTTAGCTTTGCCTATTAGCTTTGTTTAGTATTAGATTATTATTGTATTGTGTTAATGGTACTGTGAGTTATGTAATATTCAAACATAATCAGGTTTCTCTGGTAATTGATGTAGATATGGATGTTGTCAATTTTTTAAATTATTTATACTATTTATCAAAAACAGATATTTGTGTTAGTTAATAAATACATTTTTTGAGAGTAAATTTCATTTTAAGAGATTGGATGTCACGTTCAAATGTAAATATTTCATTTGGTCCCCTTAAAATTTAGAAAAAAAGAACTATTAAATGAATATCATCAGGTGCATGTTAAACAATAACGCGTTGAATAAAATTGGTCCGGAGTTGATGTCATTCCGAATCAAACTTTTCGAGTAAAAGTTCGATTCGGGATCATTAGTTATCAAAATATGTAAAACGAACCAGAATACAAACTATTGTACGCACAAACATTTTTTTAAAAACAGCAAGAGCATTCTGTATAAACGTATATATACATAGAGAACAGCATTGAATAATATTGTTTCAAAGGTAATGTTGGGATTATTTTTATAGATATAATGGGTGATGTGTGAAGTTAGTTGATAATAAAAATATATCGAAAAGTTGAGAAACTGATTCCTTATTAGTTAAAAAAATTTTTAATTATGATACAGCGAAATCTCTCTAACATGAAAAAAAATGTATTCGTACATATGTACTGTAAATTCTGTATACTTTGAGCATATTTTTTTTCTATGTGGGCCCGTATTTCAGAACTTCTCCAATCAAAACCCCCATTTTTCTTTCGCATTATTATCGTAGAAGGTTCGATAAGGTTTTCTTGACCGTGATGGCCGCAGGATTTTTTAAACATGAAAAAAGCAAAGAAAAAAAAAATGGAACATGAAAAAAGAAAGTAAGTCAAAAAAAAAAGGGCAGTGAGCTGAGCTTGGCTTAAGAGCATCCTAGAATTTTATGTATAACCTTATTCATTTTCAAATAAACCTTTTACCACAAAAAACACTGTATCTACATTTTTTTTCATTATTCGTTTTCGAGGGTTACTGTAGTAATTTTGAATCTTTGCTTGGGTAGATATTATTCAGCATGTGACACTCTGTGACAAAAATAATGTTATATTAATAAAAAAGAAATGTTATATTAGTATTTCAGTACATTGTATCACGATTATCCCACATAACAAAGTCATTTTTTCTCGATTCTTTTCTCCGTGTAAGGATCTCAAATAGTGGAGATATAGAAAATTTATGTTCCTTAGAAATTAAATTTATGTAAGTCCTTTTAAAATTAAAAAAAGTTATTCAAGAAGTAATGTTTTATTACAAATCAATTTTTGAATAATAACCGTATTTGAGCAATTAAGTACACATTTTTTTACTACTTCAACGATGAAGTAGCCGTATGATTATTTTTCAATAGCTATGATGAGCATTTGAACTTAATTCAGTTCTTTACAAATATTTCATTGAGATTTAAAATAAAAAAATCTAAATATGTGCTTTAATCTCTCTCAGGAAAAATGTGAATGGAAATGGAAATATTGCTTAGAATTATGAATCTTGAGTTCAGACACAAACCAAAAACGGAGAGGACAGCAGTGTGTTCAACAACACCGGCAACGTTGCTGATCTGACAAGTGTAGTTGCCACTGTGGTTTGCAGTGACGCTATTAATCGTGAGGATGCTGGAAAATGGCGAATAGTTGCTTATCTGAATGTTGTTGGTCCCATGTTTTGATGCGTGTTCAGGACTAGCATCTTTGAATATCTGAATTGGTTCGTTGTCCATCAACCATGTGATGTTGAAAGGCTGATCTCCCTCACTTGTAGAGCACATTAGTTGT